ATATATAGTACGTAATCGCTCTAATCTCTCTTTATTTAGAGGCGTTAAAATCTATAAACAACTATTTATTAGCGTTAAAGTAGGTAAGGACTTAAGGGTTTGTAAGCTCCCTCTAAAGCTCTGTAAAGGCTGCCTACTCTACGCCTGTTAGGTAGGTAAAGGCCTCTTTAACTATAAAAGTCTAGCGAGCTCTGTGTTATAGTGTAAGGACATATTAGGATAGTAAGGCAGGTATACTATAGACTATATAAATAGAACCTACAGAACCAGAACAATACATTATCTTCTACTAAACTATTAAAGCACTACTACTATAGTAACAAATTAGTAGTAATACCTATAATCTAGCTCTTTTATCTAACTATTTTATTTAGTTAAGTACTAGTAACACAAACACTACGTGTCGTACTAGTAGCCTTACTACACTACTAGCTAAGGGATCTCTATACACATAGTCGAATCACGACTACATATTTATTAAATCACAACAAAGCCCTACATATTTATTAGATTAGTTGTTATAGACACTAGTTAAGCGTTATAGAGATAGCGAATTATACGGATAATTATTATTAGATTAATCGTTATAGAGCGACATTTACGTTAAAACCGCTACTATATATACACTAGTATTAGTTAGATCTGTTAAATCTATTAAATCCTACTATAGTTAGTAAAGAAACGATCACACTCGCCTAGTAAATCTAAAAGTTTACTAAAGTAAGTAAATTATTTGCTAAACAAGTACTAGCTTTAATATAAAGGATCGTAGATCACGTCCTCTAAGACGTTAAGGACAACCTAGTAACAATATATCCTAACAAATAAGTTATTAATCAGCCGACACTACGTTAAGCTATTAAGTACTTTAATACTATAACAATAAATATTATAGCTAAATTAAATATCGAGTACTAGAGTACTACGTTAGTAATAAGATCTTAAGCTTAGTTAAGAGAGCCTTTACCTAAGATTAATAAGGACGACCCTAAACAAGATAATATAGTATTAGGATTAGGAACAAATATAGTATTAGGATTAAGAACAAATAGTAGAACTCTACTAGGCCTGCTAAGCCTGTTACTAGTAGACTAAGAGGCTATTACCTAACAGGTTATACGCCTACTTAGCGAGTAGGACAGGAGGTTTAATAATAACAAGGGCCCTAGACAAGATAAAGAGGTATATCCTAGTTAAGATACTATAGTTCTAGTAGATACACAACACTAATAGTGACTAATAGTAGAGATAGTAAGACTCTTTAACCTTACGTTTAGTAGTAAAAGAGCCAAAATAGGCATAGTCCCTTAGGGAAAGTATACTATATATACAGATGTATATCTATACACTAATCGTCTACGCTATCTTATTAAGTAGTACTTAGAGAAAGTAGTACAAGATATTTAGCCTATATACCTTTAAGGCAAAGCCTTATTATAGTACTCTATAGAACTAACTAAGCTAGAGAGAGAGTTCTTAATAGATATAAGTATAGAGAAAATCCTAAAGGAAATAAACTAACGCTTTTATAAGCGCCCTAAAGTCGCCTAGGCTATATTAAATACAAAAAGGTTTATAATAGTAGATCTATATAATAACAAATCTATATAGGCCTTCTTAATATAAATATTCTACTTGTCACGCTCTTTAAGAAGTAAGTCGACGTTCTAGAACCTTTTGTTAGTATAGACTATACTTAATCCTTAAATCTAGCTATATGTGTCTTGTCTTATAGAAAGTATATTAATTAAGAGATTTTATAAAGAAATAGATTCTAAGACTATAGCGTTAGTTAACTTTATAAGCTAGTAGTAATAGCTAATAATAAGTAGATACCTAAATAGAGGTAGGCCCTCTTTTTGTTAGAATTAATTTAGTTTTTAACCTTTAAGGCAGTAAGCGTATTAGCTATAGTAGTAGATATAGCCGTATTAGCTATAGTAGGCATATTAGCCGTAGGCGTATTAGCTATAGTAGATGTAGTAGGCTTCTTAACGCTTATACTAGTAGACACTACTAGGCTAGTAGTAGCTAGTGTGTCGGTTAGCCGTATAGCTAAGTAGTACGTATAGTAATAGTAGTGGTAGAGCCGGCTAGGATAATAAGAGTAGAGGAAACAGAAACTAGAGTAAGAACTAAGGAGCTAACTACTAACCTTAGGCTTAAGGTTAGCGTTAACTACTATAGATTACTACTAGGAACACGTACGTAAGGAACGCTTAGGAATACTAACTATAGCTAGTACGAGCTTACTAGGCTATAGCTAAAGAAGTACCTAATAAGACGATAGTAGTATATTATGCCTAAGACAAATCTTAGAAAGATACGGCTAAACTACTACTTAGTTTTAAGAAAGGAGATTTTACTAATATTACTATTAACTATACATAAGAAGAGGAATTCTACTATAACGACCTAATAACTAATTTTACTAAAGTTAACTTTATAGCTACTAAACCTTTCTACTAGTATAAGAAGTGTAAGGAACGCTTTACTAGTACTAATAAGCTCTTTATATACCTAGAGAAGGACTATAATGTTCTCTAACTAGGCAGACAACCTACTATAGTTAGTAATAGTTTAGGGGTAGTTAGTAATAGTTCAGGAGTAAGACTAGAAGTAATTTAGTCGTTAGTTAACGTAACTCTTAATACAGGTATAAGATATAGTTTTTGTACGTAATACTATATAATAGCTAAAGTAACGCTTAAAAGTCCGAGTAAAGATAGAGTATAAGTATGTATTAATACAGGTTTAACGTTAAGTATTACTAGAAAAGAATAGCTTTGTTCTTACTATAAAGGTATACGTATCTATATAAGGGTAAAGCCTATTAGTGTTAGAGGTGTTAGGGCTAATAAGATATAGTCGGCCGAATATATAGTAGTAGATATGTTTTTTCTAAGAACAAAGGAGGGTAAAGTAGTATAGGCTATAATATTATACGAAGTTTACCTAGTTAAATCTCTTTTAGTAAATCTAATTATTAGAGTTAATATTATTAGTCTAGAGTAAATAGATCTACTAGTATCTAATAAAGAAGCGGTTATATAATCCTATAAGGTAACGATTATAGTAAACGTATCCTTAAGGCAAAACAAAAGTTAAACGTTAGTACTTATAAAGAAAAGGACAATAGTTCTACTATAGACTATAGTAACAATACCTGTAATACACGCTACCCTAAATAGTACTTAGGACATACTTTTCGAACCTAGTAACATACTAATTAGCCTTTTTACGTATCTTATAGACTATAACCTCTTATCTATTCTTACTAGGAACAAATTAGATACACTAGTTACTATTAGAAAGAATACAAGACTTAGAGACTTAGTAGAATTCGATTATAAAGACTGTTTCTAACTATTAGAAGGTACTATAGACCTAAAGGAGTTAGCTCTATAGTTACCTTAGCTAAGAACGCCTAAGATTATACTAGGTATAACAGCTATAGAGACTATATACAGGTCTAGAGTAACGATTTATAGACTACTTGATTAGGCCGAGTAGTTCTTATGTTTGTTAGACAAGTTCTCTAATAGCCTATAGAACGACATAAGGTTTGTTAACGTCCTTAAGGATTAGTAGATAAAGGTAGAACTTTGTTACGACTAGTAGGACAAGATAACTAGTAAGACAAAGGTATACCTACTAAGCGTATAAGACCGTAAGGTTCTCGAGTCTACTTTTAACGACCTAATCTAGTAAGGACGCCTTAAGTAGACCTAGTATATAACACCCTTCTTATACCCGGCCTTTATAGTATAGAGAACTATACTAAATAGTAAGAAGAAGAGTCGTGTAGTCATTAATATTTACAGGCTAAATTAGCTAGTAGTACCTAATATATACCTAATACCTACTTAAGACAACGTCCTATAGATAATATAAGGCTATTTATTTATTACTATCGTTAATACGTTAAGTTTCTTTTATTAATAGTAAAGCTATCTAAAGACACGTCGTTATTTTATAGTAGTTACGTATATAAGTTAACACACTTTTAACTATACGCTTATAGGCTTTTATAACACGCTGTCTTATACCTAGTAACAAATAGATGTAATAATAGTATATATAAGGTCCTTTACAAAAGGTTTTATAGATAATGTAGTAGTTATAAGCAAAACTCTAGTAAAGTACATTAAGTACCTATATAAAGTGTTTACATACTTTGTTTAGGCAAATATTGTACTAAAAGGGCTAAAGTATTTTGTTGCCTTTTTGTTAGCTATAGTACTAGGACAGAAAGTCGACTCCTTTAGCTTGTTTATAATAAAAGAACGTGTTATAGTAATAGTAAAGCTTACGTTCTTAGAGAACTTGTAGTAGCTAGAACGCTATCTTAGAATAGTAAGGTAGATATAAAACAAGGTGCCGCGTTTTGCTTAGATTATAGAGCCGCTCTAAATACGTAAGACCGAACTTCTTAAGAGGGCTCTGGTAAAGGGCAGAGCTTGCTAGACTTTTGTAGTTAAGGAGGCCTTTGCCTACCTAACAGGCGTAGAGCGGGCAGCCTTTACAGAGCTTTAGAAGGAGCTTACAAACCCTTAAGTCCTTACCTACTTTAACGCCGACAGATAGTTGTTTATAGATTTTAACGCCTTTAAACAAAGAAGGATTAGAGCGATTACGTACTATATATAAGGCGATATAGTAAGAAAGAATAAGTATCCCTTACGTACTAAGGTTTAACTAGTCCTGTTCTTGTTACGTACCTTACGTAGTATAGAAACACGATATTAGCTAATAGAGCTAAAAATGTGTACTATAGTTTAGACAATATATAAGCTTACAAGATTTGTTAAAGGTTTGTATATTTAGCTAGTTATAGTTTTTACTAATTATAGTGTACTATATACTTTTCGTACTTTTCGTACTCTTACTTTTAGTACTCTTACTTTTAGTACTCTTACTTTTAGTACTTACCTCTTTTAGTACTTGTTTGCAGATTCCAGCTGATATAGTTATGCTAGATCATATTATTGTATGGATAACTATACAGTAATCTCTATGTCATGATCTTTTGCTATCTCTGTAAGAACCTTATCTATTTCCATTCCTTCGCTCTTACTTGTGCATACAAACCTCTGCCAGTCTCTAACTGCCTCCTTCTCAGATCTTCGAATATTATCCTGGTATACCTTTGTATCAGCTTGAACAGTCTTATTTAGCAGTTCTAAAACATCCACGCTACAAGTTATACGAGACATGCTGTCACTAAGTTTCTTGTGGTTCATCCTATATCCTTGTAATAGGTCGAGGCAGCTGGAATTCTGTTGGTACAGCAACTTATTCGCCTGACGTAGGTTCATGTTCTCAAGCTCTAATTGAGCTAACCTCGCTTCTAATATTGGACCACGTACTAGCTTCTGGTCTAGATATGGCCGCTGTCTCAAAGCTAGTGGGGGCGGTATTACAGTAGAGCTAGTTGAAGATAACGATGCAAATTTTGGTGCGGCTACTCTCTCTTCTACAGCCGGTGATGGTATAGATGGAGGAGATAGGAGCTCCTGCGCCCTGAGTGGAGGTGGAAACAGGTTTTGTAACCTCGCGTGCCGCGGACGTGATGGCAACGGCTTCTCACACACAGTGTTAGAAAGTAAGCTATCTAGTTTTGCAGCCATCTTGAGTAAGAAGCCAAAGAACGCTATCGACCCTTTATATAATGCCTACCCAATAGCTTAATACTAGGAAAACTGCTTTCCTCTTTGTAGTTCCTAGTATATAATTTGTGTTATTGTATTATAAAAGTACTTAGAAAAGTTAAATCTATAAAACGAATATCTATATTAGGTATTTATTCGTAGAGTTATTTAATCTCGAAAATCCGGCAGGCGAAAGCTCGACTTATACGCCGAAAAGCCAAGAAAATATCATATTATCTCGAGCAATGTCCTCTATCTGGGAGTGTTGCACGTGCGAAACTCCTCAAATCAGTCTTTTAGAAATCTGCGAAATTTGCTCGCATAAAATATGCGTACGTTGCCGACTTGACTGCTTCAACGCAGCCTCGGAGGAGAACGAACGAAAAAAAGACTCCAACAGAAGCAACAGGCCTAAAATAGCCCTGTCTGACTTTCGAAGCATTGGGGATAGTGTAAGTAGTAGCTCGAGAATCTAAAAATTCTTTCTTAACGCGACTTAGTGGAGGGCGACTGGCAGGAAAGTTCGGACAAAGAGTCGCCATATTCGATCGACAAGAATTCGTGATCCTTGGAGGTTACGAAGCCTAAAGATGGAGAGTTCGAAGAGTCAGGAACTATATGAGGGCCGATACAGTTTCAACTAGAATCCGATTCAAGAACCACTTGGAAACGGCGCCTTGGTAATCATATTACACGTGTGAAGGAGGCTAGTTCGTGGCGGCACACTGCAAGCTCTTTGTTAAGGTTAGAAGAAAGCCTCTTTATAGTAACCATCTTGACTGGGTTCAAATGCGCGCAGGCTACTGTGACCATACCGCCACGTTCTACAAGTCGGATCGATTTGTACGTCTCCCATGGATTCTTATACTGAACAGGTGTTGGCCTTGATGGGGTAGCCGTGGGTGGATTAACACTGAGAGGTAGCCGTGGAACACAAGCCGCACCAGAAGTCTCCACTCTCGCGCTATTCTGCGAAGCGCCTATTGTGGAGAGATAAAATGCCTGTATTCGAGTTCCTCTAGGAAAGCGAGTCATGCGTCTGACAGTAGTACCTTCCGGACACACTTTCCGACTTGAGACCTGGCCCTCGCCATTGTGAGCACGCGGTGGGGACTTAGAGTCCATGCCTTGTGAGGATTATCTATGCCACTTTAGTATAGAAAATGACCGGTGCAAGGGCGCTCGATAGATAAAGAATCATTATTGATGCAATCTAAACACTGTGGGTTATATTGGCCCTTAGTGAGCGCCCCCTGAATGTAGGTGGCCATGAACAAGCGGAGGTAGGTTCTGTACCGCGTTAGACTGGTGCAAATGAGAAGTGTTGTGATCCCCGATCATATTACCTCTGGTTATCCCAAAAAGCCCCGCCCTTTGTGGCCAGTTAGTTGATTGGTGAAATGCAGACGAGTCTGCTGGGCTGTTGCGGGTCGCGGGTCTTGGATGTACTGTGCTTGAGGAGGAATCATTAACCTGTATACACCATCACTTTCTACCACCGCCATTAATGATATGCCTATCCAGAACGAGTTCCTATACATTCATGAGATGATGGTATTCGAACATTTACAGTCATGCTCCTCAAGAAGCGGTGCTTTCGATACTTCGTCAACTAGACTACAAACAGTTTTAAAGTCCAAGGCGGCAACGGCGAACAGCCACGCGTTTATCAAAATGGCTGTCACGTCGAAGAGCATTTAGGAATCAAGCAGAATTAGTACGAAGCGCCAAAACAAAAATCTAGCAAGGAGGATTGAGACTCTGTTTGTTGGATCACACGAGATATGGGAGAAATATGGTGTCGATGTCGCGGTAATTGTTATGAAAAGAGGCCAGTACTCCACGATGATGGCCCAATATTTCCCAACAGTCTCTGCTCTCTGGCTATCGCCGTCTTTAAATGCGGAGGACTAAATACGGCGGCAGGACAGAGTCGAAGCTGAACATAGGTGGCGATATCTGTCGCAAAGGGACCCTCCTTCCGCTTTCCTAAAACGTTGGCTCAATTGCTTTGGTGAGGTGGGCGTTATTGCTGAATCCCGAAATCTGCCTGGCAAACATCACCTTCACAGTTTCGGCTCAATAACAACCCTTCTCCTTCAAATGCCTTATAGGCGGGAATCGGATTTTGCACGTCTTGAGCAGCTGCTTCGAGCTGAAGCCGATGAGCGCGCAGAACAGGAACGAAGACGTGCGGTGGACGAACAAAGACGTGCGGAGGACGAGGGAAAGAAGACGAGATCGACACACAGACGCTGTGCATGTAGAGCTCTTTTTGTAGACCACGCCGGAAACCGATTAGGCGCCCCGCCCACATTTTATATGTAGAGTTGTTTTTGTAGACCATATCCCGGAAATCATTTGAGTGCACCTGCTACATTCTGTATATCGAGTTCTTTTTGTAGACCATATCCCGGAAATCATTTGAGTGCACCCGCTACATTCTGTATATCGAGTTCTTTTTGTAGACCATATCCCGGAAATCGTTTGGGTGCACCCGCTACATTCTGTATATAGAGTTCTTTTTGTAGACCACATCCCGAAAACCGTTTGTGGTACTCTATCATATTGCACATCTAGAGTTCTTTTTATAGACCACATCCCGAAGACCGTTTAAGGGCCCAGTGTCTGGGACGTCGTCTACAAAAAGAATTCTAAATGCACAACGTGACGGGTGCGCCAACCGGTTTCCGGGACTTGGTCTACACAAAACCGTCTACATAAACAAAGCGATATCGTAAGCTAGTTGAAGCGTGGTTATCTAGCACGTTGTGCATATAGAGTTCTTTGTAGACACGTCCCAGAGAGCGTTGGCCGTTTTGTGCATATAGATTTCTTTTTGTAGACCAAGTTCCGGGAAACCGACGTTGCCGCGTCCTCGTCAACCTACATCACGTGGTTCCTGCGGGAGATTAAGAGTGCATTGGAGAGATTTTGTCCTCAGGCATCATACACAGGATATTATTTTGCCGCGATTATTTTGCATTGGAGAACTTTTCTCCGCTGCCTGGTATCTGCGGACAGAATCCCTCCAATGCTTTTTTCGCTCCTCTGGGCACTCACAACGGCAGAATATTCTCCGTCGTGAGAACACCGGGGACAGAATTTCACCCCGAGGCGTGTAACACGGCAAGAAAAAGGCAGAGGAGAAAGTTTCCCCTCTGCACAGTTGCAGGGGAGAGAATATCGCCGCTGCAACCTCTTGTGGGATTGAACCTCGCCGCCGCAAACCTAGAGGGAAGGGTTTTTCCTCCAAATGAGGACAGCATGCGCCACGAGAACGTATTCCAATTACTTGAAGGGACATTCAGCACTAGTTTTTCCGAAGCTTGGTGAGGACCGTGACGGCACTGAACTCTCAGCTGGGCATTTAATGACGACAGATTCATGGTGCATGGTGTAGTGAGAAGATCAATGTATGGTCAAATGGGTATCAGAGGGGAAGTGGGACCGGCTGGACTCAGGTCAGACACGTGATAAAGTACACCAACCATTAATTTGGAGGTTATCTTTGGCTATTAACAACACTATTCCCATTCACGTCCGGCTAGTTAAAGAGGCTGCTGACATGTTCAGTGCCATTGAATTCGTCCATAAATGCCTTGCTCGCGGCTACAGCTTGTTGGAGGTGTGAGAAAGAGACCCTGCTCCTTTGGTAGGAGGCTAACTTGAGAGCTATTGAGACTATGTTCTTGATCTGTTTCCTGGTCAGTGATCATATCATTATGGGTTGTAGTAAGTGACCTTACCTCTCGACCGTTAAGAAGAGTTTTGCTCAAGCTCTCCAGTACATCGGTGGAGATGTTGACCGGCTCTTCAGAGGTCCCCGCTCGATCGAGGAGATTCTTCCAAACCTGACGCCTCGCATTTATATCCAGGTCATCATATTTCAGCTTCAAATGTATTCTGGAGAGTGCTGCTGGATCAAACTGTGACACTCGATTTGTTGTGAGGAACATGATGCCTTGGCAATATTCCATCACGCGGAGGAATACTGAGACGAGGCCATTTCGTACTAGATCCTGAGGTGTGCGTTGTTCAAGATACACATCTGCCTCATCGAGGAGTAGGATTGCATCCCAATGTTTCGCGATCTGAAAGATTCTGGAGAGTTGGCTTTCGAGTCTACCTGCTTCGGTGGGCAACTCTCCGACAGATATCTGGATGTGTCAGAAGTGATAAGCTTTTTAGGTCATGTGTTCATACCGAGTATATTGGTTTTTTTCGATGTTCTGCTACTGCCTCAGCTGTCAAAGTTTTTCCTACCCCTGGATTGCCGCTAAGAGTATATGTTAGTATATACCGGGAGACAGTGTCAGAGATGCCTACTGCAAGAGAATAAGGATACCGCGCCCCTTCCCCTCGACAATATCATCAAATCCGGAGTCTTGTTCGGTGTCGGTTACAGCCAATATAGTCTCTGTCTGATCATCGGGCAGGGCTAAGCCGTCAAACGGCGCAGAAGACCACTCGATCTCCGTGATATCAGCCACCGCAATTTCCACTATATAAGCTGGTCAGTTGACCGCTTACTCTTCAAGGAGGACAAAGCTTACCCCACAACTTGTCTTGGAGACTGAACCCTGGCACTGTCGGACAGCAGATAAGGAGATTTTCGTCCGCCACGCTGCCTTGGGTTTGGTCAATGAATAACTCATTTGCTAGCCCAAAGGATGTAGCACGCGAAACACTGTCAAAGCTACCAAGCGACGTCTCACTGACATCGTCAGCAGATCCAAGTAGTTCCCAGTTCGCGGCGGGGTCATTAAAGATCCTTGGCTGGGGATTCTTTGGATTCATCTTCCGAAAGAAGGCGGCATCCACCATGATGCGACCATCGATCGGTACTTGCACCAGCTCTCCGTTCTGCTTATAAAATGCCGAGCCGCTGCAGTGGCAATGGTGAGTACCCCTTAGGCGCATAAACATTCGACCGCACCTGAGAAGCTCAGCCCGGATGCCTGTACCTCCGGCATGATACTGGAGAGGGAATGCCTCTAGCTCGTTGATCCGCTTAGCCCCGCGGAACTTCGAAATTGTTAGCTCAATCACGGCTGAGCCCATGTCTTCGCCGTTAAATTCGAGGTAGCTGCAGTTGATACTCCAGTGCTTAGCGCCTCCTATTGTTGTCTTCTCCTCGCCAAAATTATATCTCACACATCGTGGCTTATGCGTTCCGGAACAGGTCGTGTAAACCAACGAATTCGGCTTGAAGAGGGCCCAGAGCAAGTCGTACGTAATGTGGTTATCAGATAGCAGCGACAACAAGTTGTGGGTCGTGTCTGCATACGCGCTTTTGAGGTAGTCCACGAGCAACCCGAGGTGCTCTATTTCTTGTAGATCGAGTGGAGCAATCGCATTCCAGGCCTGGCACGACTCAAGCTTATCGAGCATGGTATAAAGAAAGTTCCGGTCGAGCTTGACTGGAGTGAAGCTTATCCCCTCGAGATCCAGAACGTCTCTCAAAATACCTCGCAAGAGCTCGGATTCAACGTCAATATAATAGGTCGCCTCGTTAGAGTTCTTGTCTAGAGATAGCCTATTAGTAGAGCTAATAGGTTTGCATTGATGTACCGACCGATGTGACGACGAACAACAAAAATGTATCGATAGAGTCTAGCAACCTGGCCCTTCACTTTAACGGGTTCGACAGTCGCATACTTCCGAGCCTGGTCGTCCCAACTGAGGAGTCTTATTAGCTGATGTTGACTGCAAGATCATTTAAGGCCTACATTTCATCAACCGTCTTGAATTCCAGTATCGAAGATCTTGCCTTCACATCTTGCTGAGTGTCTCCATATGCCACATGTTCACCATCCCTAGATGTTTCGGCTGAGTCCAGTGACTCTATGGGTTGTGGAGATTCCGCGATCACGTGAGGTGATGCAGGCTTAAGGGCATCCAAGTGCTGTTGCGGTGCGAATTCAGCCGGCAACGATGTTGGTAGCTGGCAAGAATAACAGTGGATATCCTGCCTATTTGTGGCTAGTGGCAAATGGTGCAAGAAGTTGCTGCCCTGAGTGAACTTAACCTTCGACTCTGCTGCTACTTTGATCTCCGAAGATATCTCGCTTCGCAGGTCAAAATATGTCCCACTTGAAACATCACTACAACACTCATGAGAGTATGTGCCGGGAGTGCCTCGACAGCAAGTTACTGCATTTTTACTTGCATCAATGATTGTGATTAGACTAGGCGGAGGTGTAGCTGTCGGTTCCACCATACTGTCGAATGATGTTTCACTCGAGGAATCGTCGTCGCTGAACGACCTGTCAGAAGATGAGTGAGCATTGTATGAAAGGTCGAGAGGTTCGACAAAGTCCCAATTATTTGGCAGATTACTGACAGTATCTCCAGGATAATGTGCTTCCGCAATCTTTAACTCAGGGTGCGCGACACTCTTGGTCGCAGGCTGCGATAAAGTCAAAAAATCATAAGTCGGACTGCTTGAAGACGCGGCTGGTAGAGTGAAACGACGTTCGGGCTTATCAGGTGGAGGAACGACGCCGCAGTATAATTGTCCGGAATCTGGGCTCTTGATTTGCCTCTTTCCATCCTTGGTCTTCATTACCCACTCCTCCACATTTTCCACTGCCATATGAGGCGACTGCCTATATTTTCGCAGAAAAAGCTGGATATCAGCTGGGCTGAATTCCTGTTCCGGCACCTTGTTTGCAAACTCGCCCGCCAGCTTCCTGAGCACGGCCTCATCTGTCAGCTTCCCGCCAGGTGAAGGGTTGTCATGCATAAAGATGTGGCGGAACAGTCGGGTGTTGATGTCTCGGTTGGTTAAACCAAGCTCTATCTGCATGTCCACTCGCCCTGATCGAATGAGCGCGCCGTCAAGATGCTCCACATGGTTCGTGGACATAATCAGGACTCGTCCTTCCTGCGAACCGACGCCATCCAGAACGTTCAAAAGGCTCGACAGAGACACACCTCCTCGGGAATTTTTCCCAGTAAAAGAGCCTATCTCGTGTTGGTCTGCCTTCACTGGTTCGTGCTGGCGAGAATGGGTTGCATGGACGGCGTCGATATCTTCGATAAGGATGACACACTGTTCGGGTAGTTTAGTGAACAACCTACGCAGTGAGTTGTCGTTCAGCGTGGAAAGATTGAGTGTATAGATATCTAAACCACAGCTTCCGGCGATGGATAAGCTCAAACTGGACTTCCCAGTCCCAGGTGGTCCATACAACAGGTATCCTTTTCGGTATGGAATGCCGCGCTGAGAATACCACGCTCGTGTTTGGGGGTCCAGGAAGTCCTTAATATCCTTTAAAAGCTCCGTCTTCTTCTTCTCATCAATGATGACGGTGTCGAGCGGTCTGATGTCTATTGTGTCTGTTTTTTCCCAGCCACAGTCCCCATGCTCGAAGATAGAGGTTTTGTTTTGGATCAACTTCAAGTATTCCATTCGGCATTCGCTGAAGAGCTCCCTCAGAATTTTGGGAGATCTCCCTATGCAGGAGACAGAAATTTCTTCTTTTGGGAAGAAGCTGCGGCTGGAATCTTTTTGCATCCGCCGAAACGTGAGCAAGCGGTTCTTGTACCAGAAGGAAAAACTCCCATTCCAAGGTGAATAGTGAAGAGATTTCTTCATGTCTCCTTCAGAATCATCGTCTTCAAACTCTCCTCTTCCAGAACCCACTCTAGCGAGTGAGGATCCTACTTTATGAGCAAATGGTCGAGTGGATATCCAGGTAACAAGCATGTCGCGTGCTTCATTAGAATCAGAGACGTGAATGGTTGAAGCTGTTGGTGGTCAGGAAGTGCCACCTGTGGAGTTTGGGACGATACGAACTGAAATAGGTCATCACCACCTCTCTCACATGCTTGTAAAAATATTTGCCCAAGAACACGAGCATCCCGCAGATACAAAGAATACCAGCATAGCTGTCCGAGCTGCCAGCTTGAAGTTGTCGGACAGCAGCAGAGATGCCATTGAGGCCAGGGAAGAAGAGGTCCAAAATGGAGAGCGGATAGGATGTGACTGGCTGGACTGGCAGAGAATAACTATCATTGCTTGTTGCCATTGTGTGAAGTGCTGTACGTGGACAGCAAGATATCGAAGGCAGGATGGAGTGTTGGTCTAAATCTGGTAAAGCTGATGTGATATATGAGTATGAGTCTGTCCTTGAGGAGCTTCTGCCATGGACATCGAGGGAGTTACGTACCCCTATTTATGCTTCAATTCTTGCCCTGCCGCTCATCTCGTGGACGTCTAGTCCTCCTGAGCAGACCAACAACCGGGGAAGTTGATAAGGATACCAGATACTCCAGGATCATCCGGCGCCGCATGGTCACAAAATCATGCAATGGCTTATTCAAGCGCGGGAGAGAAGCACACTCATCTCCTGGAAGTCTAGGCAGTTCAACATCTGGGGAAGTCGATGAGGGATCAGCCGGTGGCTCATGGTTGCAGCATGATGCAATGGCCGATTGGATATCCAACGTCGCTCCGAGGGTGCATCATGCGAAACGCCAGAGAGAAGCACACATCTGGAAGGTCGTGTTGTGTTGGAAGAGATCCTGATGAAGTACTGATTTGCCATGCAGGAACCGTGTGTGATATTGTGGGGAAAGTTACTGATACTGGGAGCCGATACTGCAGGATCGACCAGTGACCATGGTCACATCATGCAAGGGCTGATTCGACCTTCAGGGTGATACTGAGGGTGCCTCATTCGGAAAATGCGGGCGAAACACAGTATAGAAGAGATGGTGGAGTTGGAATTCACAGTGCAGTAATCGATAGCTACAGCTTAAGCTACAGCTCAAGAAATCGCAGTCTGAAGCGTAACGCGACATAGCTTCCAACGGGCATAAGATTGCAGCTTCACAGGTTGAGTGAAGTTCACGGCTATGATGCCGCGCTCACAGTCTGTGCCGTGCTCACAGTCTGTGCCGTGCTCACAGTGTGGCGCTCACAGGCAGTGTGTCATTCACAGACTGTGCGTCGTTCACAGGCTGTGTGTTATTCACAGGCTGTGTGTTATTCACAGGCTGTGTGTTATTCACAGGCTGTGTGTTATTCACAGGCTGTGTGTCATTCACAGGTTGTGCGTCGTTCACAGGCTGTGTGTTATTCACAGGCTGTGTGTCCTTCACAGGCTGTCATTCACAGGCTGTCATTCAACAGGCTGTGTCTTGGATTTCGGTATTTCGGCATTGGAGCCCCAGCTACGAATTTGCACAGCCTGTGAAATATTCCTCAAAGCCTACCTCTTGCCAAACCCGGTCAGCTGGCGATGGGATTAATGTTGTTTGTTTCCACATACGGCCCGTCGTGCATAGGCACGCATGTCTCAGGCTACCGGGTGTAAGTGTAGGAAGCAGAAAGGATACTGAGACATTTCATGAATGCCCCATGGAGGGAATCTCGCAAATTCGTCTATAAAATGAAGATATTTCTTTCAGACTTGGACTCGAGACCACGAATTCAAGACCAAAGCTTCGATTGGTTCCCACTCCTCAACTTTACTTTTTCGACCAGCACAATCAATTTGACAAACCAGGCTGCACCATGGCTTGCACATGCCAGCGACGTATTGCGACAAGGACTTATCAGAACTGTACCGCCACCCCGAAGCATAAGATTCAAGACATCAGCTTGGTGCATTGCTCGGATGTTGGCGGCCGGAATTGCACGGGCTACAAGGACGTACATCTTGCATCCTCTGTAGTTAGAGTCCAAGGAAATATTTGCCCGAAGTGTTAACGGGTACGATTAAATCCACTCCTATCTTCGAAATCAATCTGATGACCCGTAGGCGGCAATACCCGAGTTTCTTAGAACGTTTTCTTTCTTAAGTTTTAGCTTTTGGAGATGGAGATTGTCACTCGCTATTTTTCGTATTATTGAGAGGTGATTGGCAAGAGGAGAGATTGGAACGGATGATCATAACCGCCTGTCCTTACACATACATTGCAACAGTCCTTCAAATTTAAATCAGTTACAACTACTGCAATCGTTTTTGAACATCCTGTTGTTGGGAAGGGAAACTACTCTGTTCTATATTTAGAGTTAACCGACTCGCTAGAGCCACGGCGTAGATATTCTCATTCGCCTATATAAAACCAACCCCGTCTCACAGAACTCAGAATTACTCCCTCATAATAGTGAATACACAATCCTCTTTGACTTCTTCGCTAAATCCGCACAATGCCCATCGTCGAGACCGTTGTACACCACTACTATGAGTACCACCCTCCTGGGGTCAAGGAAATTCTTGGGATAGGATCTAGCGCGTGGGTTGGGGCAGTCGATGAGACGACAGTCTTCAAGTATCCTCTCGCCCCGGACGGTGATATGAGCCGGCTAGAGGTCGAGCGGCAGCTCCTAGAGTTAGTTGGCCGACACGAACGAGTCATCCAGCTAAAGGGTTTTAATGAGAAGGGGCTCTACCTGGAGCGTGCTCCTAATGGAACGTTGGGCGACTACCTTCTAGAGGCATCACCAGAGCAGGAGTCTCCCTCGACAGCACAGCGCGTGGCCTGGTGCCGCGAAACCATCGAAGCCGTGGCCCACATACATTCTCTTCACGTCCTACATTGTGATATTCAACCCTATAATCTGTTGCTTGACGCTGGCCTACACGTCAAGCTGACCGACTTTCAGGGTAAGCATATGGCAGCCGACGGTACGATCCTCCTTGACGGCTCCTCTAGTGAACCGACTCGCTTTAGTTACCCGCGCGATGATCCACACCAGGCCGACATCAAAACTGACCTCTTTGCACTTGGTTGTACTATCTACTTTATCATGATGGGCCATCCCGTCTACCCTGACATTGTTGATGGATCAGATGAATGGTACGAAAGAGTTCAAGAAAGATTTGCTAAGCACGAGTTCCCAGAGGATTTGCACGCCTGTACGTCCATCACCCAGAAGTGTTGGCTAAGAGAGTATGAGTCAGCCGAGGAAGTTCTTCGAGACATTTTGGCCATCGAGGAGACTTCAATCTCCCTTCCACTGTAGTGTGCTGTGCTATGAAATGTGTGGAGGAAGGTATGCACTTGGAATAATAGCTCTGAATAACATCTCCATAAAAATGGGTTCCCGTGACTCTGTGCCATTAAGTCTTAACGTCCTGCACGTCGTGTCAATTACTATTCGTGCCGCCGCAGCATCCGCTTGATGCACTCCACGTTGAGGTCAATCTTAGTGAGGATGGCACAGTAGACGGGCTCCTCGGAGGTTGTTTAGAGCTTGGTTGGTAAACTATTTAACAGCGAAAATTGAATACGTTATGGATTTATGAATAGAACGAGAATACATGTCATGACAATCAACCCATCACTTCATAACTCACGAGGCAGGTTCAACACGTATGGTAAGAAAGTAAAGTAGAACCAGGCACCCACAATGCTAGAAGAACAAGACAATGAGTCCAAATTCTACTTCAAGTTTTCAGATAGCTTTACGGCGCTATTTCCACAGTCCTCCCATCAGCATTTAGCTGGCAACCGACACCGTCGTCTCAGAACAGTCATCAAGCTTTGGACTGCAATGTTTTTTTTTTTTGGACTACCCCCTAAGGACTGCTAACGAATCAAATGCTCGACGCGAAGCGCAAAAAATCTGAAAAGACACGATCGGGAGTCTAAGGATTGTCGAGTACAGTGGGATGGCTGAGCGGGCAGCCGCTCGCGCGATATGGGCTGCATAGGCAGGGTCAGAAATGTCTGGAGGAACACTGGCGAGGCTGTGGACTTACGTGGCTCTGTCATACGTGACCATTATGATCCTTTCCGTTTTCCCAGACCCGTTGCATAGGCTGCAGTCGAATTTGGTGCCAGATTGCTTTCCTGAGCCACCACAAACGGGACAGTCACCCATTATGTGGCCTATAAAACCTATAGCCACATGCCCATCAGCAAAATCGTCTTTTGATATAAGTTTTCAAGGGCAGCGGTACCATAACTCAGAAATCACCGCGGCGACTGCTAAGGTGTGGTCGGGGTGGGCGACAAAGTTGGAAGAATGCGCGTGGAGGTAGCATGATGCAAAGTTCTTGTAGATTCGCTCTGGTGGCAAGGTTACTTATTATACTTCGGCCACATGACCATTTCTTTAGCCGGTCCTAGCCGAATGGGTACCCGCATTACGATTGGTTTCTTGGCTAGTTTTCGGCGCTTACTCCCTACATCCCCGCTTTTACTCGAGGCTCGTAATAAATGCTGGCCAGCTGGACATTTGGCTCTGAAGTACAACCTGAACCGCATTAATCTGGAGTAAGATATGTCCGACAATCTGAATCGGCGATGGCTGTGCCAGAGTTGCCCTCGGAGCTTCTCGACCGAAGGCGAATTAGCGAAGCATGTTGAGACCTACAGAGTTTGTCGTTCTAATTCTCGTGGTGTTCACTTCTGCCCTAACCATTGCAGTCCCGCGTTCAGGAGTTGATGTTCGAATTGCAGCAAGCTCTGGCACACGCAGACTCAAATGCATCCGATGACCATCGTAGCATCCCTAACGGCGGCGACAACCATAAAGATCTATTCTGTCCGCATGCAGAATGCAAACACAAACCGCCGTACACGCAACTGAGGTCTCTCCAGCGACATTACACGTCTCGTATGTCGCCTCTAGCAATATTCGCACCTAGATAGCAAGCAGCGCTAATAGAAATTCCACAGATGTTCGATGCAGCGTCATTTGCCCATCCTGCCTCGACAAATTTACCATGGTGCGGAAGTATGCGACACATCTTCCCAATTGCCTGAAGAGTCAATGGGCCGACGACAAGAAGAATGCTGCCAAGAAGAGAGGCAACCGCTTACACAGACTTGCTATCACTGAACTTGAGCAGAGAATGTCAGCCGGCCCCAGAAATGGCGACGGACCGATACACGAGACACAAGAGTTTACTGCAGGTCGGGTGCACGACTCTGCCAGGACGGCGGATTCTGAGTTGGTTAGAGACCTTGAGGGTGATATGATCTCCGGAACCGGTACAATACCACCTTCCAGCCATTCCACCCTGCTCCTAATTATTGTATAGAACTACGTCGTGTCGAATTGCCGAGCCTGAGCAGGAATGATAGCAACTTTGAATTTTCAACCACTTACGCAGCGAGCAATAGTCCTCTCCTCCATCGATACCCGAGAGGGCCTGCCCTACTATCCAATCCAATGGAATGGAGCCTCGCCTATCCAACTCAACCATTGTACATGACCACTGAAGATATGGGACCGTCTGTGCTGTATTCTGAGCCGGGGATGAGTCGTAGCAGTGAATGTGTAGGAGACGGGGACTTGGAGGCTATATATGGACCTTCGGTTGTCGCAGTAGGAGTTACATAGGTAGCATGTTTTGCTCAATTCGAAATTCATTCTGATCTTGTTACTTCCACAAATTGGAAGTTCATTCTGATCCTGTCAGTGTTCATTTGCGCAACCTTTTGTTCAAGGTTTGGCATCTTCGGTAACATCATTTTACCCCATTCCTTAAGCTCCTTCTCCACCGCGAATCCAACCCCTAATACAACACCTTCTAAGACTGTGCTGAAAAGTCGCCCATCTGTAATGATCCTATAGTATGAATTAGGGCATGCTGATATGGCTGAAAAGAATAACGTACAGACCACCGTCGTCCATTTTAACTTCAACAGGTGTGATACCAGGTTCGCTCAGGGACTCGCGCGGAAGCTCAAGTAGGCCAATCCCTCCTGGGTTTGCATCCAACTCATGCATGTGGGAACCTTTATGGAGAATAACTCGGGATCTGCTACGACATATGAGGACATTCAGTGCGAGTAATTCCGATGTCGTTCTGTTCAAGGGGGCACGGGCGGTGTTTGGATGTGAACCGAATGGTTTGAACATTCCTAGGCCACAATGTTTAAGGGACGACTCGATCGTGTCTCGAATAAGCTGTGATGCGTTAGATGTGCCTTTGCGGCTCTTTGGGTGCTCACCTACCGTATCGTCGAGAGTTGCGCTGAGAAAATCAAGACCAGCTTCTGTTTGGAACGGATATCCCTTGCTTGCAAACGTGTCGGCTTTCCTTCCATATTCGGGATCTTTGATAAAGAAGAAACCGTCATCCAAGATGGACTTCTTTATGCCTTCTCCGTCCATAAGATTGTTGTTGTTTGGCGATCGATGGAGTTGGGCCTCGGTGCATGCTGTTTTGCGTCGTAGGTTTTGCCTTAAACACTACACCACCATGTGATGATATTGCTTACATAAGTGAGTGAGCACATGCGAGCACACAGGAGTGGGATATTGATGCCATTGATGCCTAACCGACGGTTACTCCTTAATCAATTGAAGCACTCTTTCAGCTCGATTGTACTGGCATTACACTGTAGACTCATTGGTTAGCTATAGTTCCATCGCATCGGTTCTACAGTTCTTCAATAAGGTCAAGAGACACATAATGGGATCCAAAAGGCTATAGTCAAGACAATTCATCTGACACACCGAGAGATCGAGGCTCTCGCGCTCTCCATCTCACAATTAAACTCGTCAACTTTTATCTCGGACTTCAGCTTTCCCTGCAGATTCCTCTTTCGATTCGGTGAGAGTGTGCCTAGAGGCGGCCTTACGCGGAACTCTGCGCGTTCAAAATCCACAAGCATTAGTCTGCCATGCTCTTCATCCCATAACCAATTCCGCGGCTCCACGTCCTTGTGAAGCACCTGCCGCCCATGCAATTCCTCCAGAACCTTTTTCACATGATCGAGAATACGAGCTTCATTCTTCAGCATAAGGCATTGATGAAGTGGCCGGCCAGCCCAGCTGAGAAAGAGCATGCTAACATAGATGCCAGCATCGTAGTAATAAGGGAGCTTCAAGTCCACTATGCCTAGGGAAACTGGGATGCAGCTGCCTTGAAGTGGGCGGAGGTGATAGTAGACTTTTCTCTCATGAAGGAGGTGCTTGCGATCAGGGTTCTTCATCCCTTTTGCGACCAGTGTGTATCCATTTGAAGATAGTCTGACTTTGAAGAGCGCCCCGCGTGATCCTTTCATGTAGAGTGGCTTGCAGTCGGCACCGCGTCCACGATCATTGGCGAGCTGGGTACGGATAAGGGAAAGGAAGCTGCCCGGCTGTATATGTTTCCCTTGATGATCCTGAAGATTGGGACACCGGCTATCCAAGTCCCCCCCATATGCCAACCCAAGCAGACACTTCTGTGTGCAAAACGGCCGGTCCTCAATCTTCATTGTCGACCCCGCTTCTTTCGCGCTTGGATGGCTTGAATCTTTCTTTCTCTGGCTACGCCGTGCACCTTGTGGCTGCGTTGGCTTTCCACGGCCCCTACGCGGGACAGCTGCAGCTCGCCTGGGCGTCGGGGTAGGGGGGTTATCGTCATCACTTTCGTTACCGCTCTCATAGACTTGCTCAGCCACGGGTTTGTTGCATGCGTCTGCTAGACGGCGGGACCGTGTTCGAATAGGGGAACCAATGAACCCCTTCCATCGACTAGCTTTATATGAAATCTCACGTGGGGATTTCCGCTCCGTTTCGGGAATATTCTTGAGGATATCGATGTATTCGACAGCCCACGTGTCTAGAGTTGCACCCGCATCATGCCATGATTGACTAGGTGCTTCAGAGGCGAGTGCGCTGAGGACAAAGGCAGAAATCTGTGCAACACTTGTCCGATGAAATCGGTTCTCATCATCTTCTTGGAAGTCCAGGCGTGGAATAGAAAGGTGATAGCGGACAGTGGTCGGGTCATCCGGTATATATAGGAAGATGATGGCTTCTCCAACGAAGACGTAGCCCCACTGGATGCCTTTTCGAATCATGTATGAAAATAGCTGGGTGATCACAGCAGCGACTAGGCATTTAGAGTGAAAATCGAAGTCGTCGCCATCCTTGTTGATCACTTCCTCGGCGGGTCGAATCTCCCCTTCAAGACCAGCAATGATCTGGGCTAAAGGCAGCTTGTGCGGTGGCTTGTATTCAACCGAGACGACTGGAATCTTTTGTCCGTCTGACAGCTGGTATATGCAGAATTGATCTGCTGTTCCCGCTTTCTTTCGACCAGCACCTCTAGTGTCGCCCTGTAGCTGTCTTCTGTCTGCTTTCTTGCCGCCCGTCACTCCCGTTCTTGAACCACTAGGACCCGTTATAGACATGTGTTCCATCGCCTCCTCGACCGATGTCTCGCTCTGCTGCCCTAGATTTGTATGGCTTTCGAATGTCATTGTCCCTCGGAGCTGGAGCTGTCGTCGCAACTGCTCATCCTTGTATACCTCCTCGATCAAGGTCCGGACTGGATTCTCCACCGTCTCGCGTGCATAGTGTCGCAGGCCAAGCTCTGAGCTTATCGGGTCGAGGTATCTCTGGACATATTCGAGCTGGTGGGCGGATGGATAGACGGGCTGCGAATTAAAACGAGTACTAGCTGAGAGCTGCTCCCAGATCTTCTCTTGTGATGTCGGGAAATCGTCCCACGGCACAATGCGCTGAGGGAATGGCCGACCGGTGGGCTTTGTGGTATCGCCTTGTGTCGTCAAAGTCGCGTCGGTGACAACTTTGAGAGCAGTAGAGAAGCCATGACAAGCTTCGAGATACTCAACGAGGCTTTTCGGTCGAGATTGCTCTTCAGCTGCTTCCCGTCGTCGTTGTTCCTCTGCTGTCCGCGCTTCGGCCTCCGCTAATTTCCTTCGCAGCTCTGCAAGCTGGTCTTCCATTTTGGTGTGCAAGATGGCGATATTGATTACTTTCGATTTCGTGTTGTTTATTTACCAACGCGTGACTACGGAGCCGTCCGCAGATTAGCCGAGTGCATACTTTATCCTCAGGCATCAATGACATTCGTCGCTTCGATGTTCAGCTGGTTTGGGGTACTCAGCAGTTTAATGATCAATCCCTCAGCTACTCAAGGGCTGAAATAATCCTTCTACATGCACTTTTGCAACGCGAACAAGAAGCAGAACGTCTCCGCCAGGAAGAGCAACATCTCCGTAAAGACGCGCAAGAACGCGAACAAGAAGCGCAGCGACGTGAACAAGAAGCAGAGCGCCTCCGTGAAGAAGACCGGCATCGCTACGAACGGAGAATCGGAAAGACCACACTTCATGAGTTTCTTGACGCTTGCCACACCAACCTCTATTTGGGTCTGACGATTCAACCAGACAGCACACAGTCTACGCAAGGCGATGCCGCAAATGCGGAGAACAAGCCCCGCCCTGATCGAATTTTGCCATGGCCAGAATTTGAAGCTGAGCAGGCACACACATGGGGTATTTTAATGGAGTCGAGTTTTGTGCGTGAACGGCATTTTACCTCTCAGCGAACATCTCTTTCTATGGGAGACCCTTGAAAATAGCTTAAAGCCAGAAGTAAATATCATTTCGTCAATCGCCTCTGCGTATGGTGGGTACACTACCTAAGCCTAGCTATCATGGATTTCACGCAAAGCAACCACCAAGAACGAAGCAGAGATATAGAGCAAGGGCCACCGAATGGCATGGTGACCTGCAGACACATGGTCGTCAACAGCCTCAGCATCTCCGTTTCGGAGGTCGTCCTCGCCGTTTCTTTGGCTCTCCCTCGTCAGACGATTTAGACCTATCCATCTCCTGCTGTCCTTCCTCAAGAAGCGCGGACTCGAATTCATCTATCAACTCCCTCGCCCCGTCCAGGTTAGATTCGCGCATCCACGTTGCCCTCCACACTGTCAAGTAGTGCCTTTCGCCGTTAACCATTTTCCGACCGGCGAAGAAGTCAATCTCCCATTCTTCACTGGTGTCAGTAACTAGGATACGTCCTCGCCGTTTCTTTGGCTCTCCCTCGTCAGATGATTCAGACTCGTCCATCTCCTGCTGTCCTTGCTTGGGAAGCGCGGACTCAAATTCATCTATTAACTCCCTCGCCCCGGCCAAGTCAGATTCGCGCATCCACGTCGCTATCCACACTGCTAAGTAGTGCTTTTCGCCACTAACCATTTTCCGACCGGCGATACTATCGATCTCCCATTCTTCACTAGTGTCCATATCTAGGATACATCCCCGGGGCTTTTCGAGGTCGGTGGTTTCGAGTACGGGAGAGGGAGAGGAATTCCTGTTGTGGCCAGGCTGTGAATCCCGCTTCCGTCGCTTTGTGGGTCGTGACTCTTCGCTATTATCGTCCTCTCCCAGGTGTCCTTTGTCGTTTGTATCGTGACCACAGCCGCTACTAGACTGTGCCCTGTCGTCCTGGCGGTGACAGTTTGCTCTTGCTTCCCCTCTTTCAAATTCACCGCCGCTGTCTCTGGCCGCCATCAGCGCATCCACTGCTGCCGTCTGATGCTGCCCCCCTTGCGGTCCACCTTCCTCAACTTGAGTACGAGACGAATGGCCATTTCTCAGCTCCCCGAATCCGTCGAGGGTGGTTCCAATGTGATCCGGCTCCTGGTCCACTAGAGGATGGGCCATGTCTGAACTGGGGGGGAGAGGGCGTGGGGAGCCAGGAGCAGCGGCCAATAACACAGGCTCCTGCGCTTTGCCATCCACTAGCATATCCCCCTCAGGGCTAGATAAATTTTCCCTACAGTTCTGTCCCATGTCCTCATCCAACGTCCGGGGTAACGTGTCGGCCTCAAGCTGCTCTGACACACAGAAAGTGTCTCTATTCTTGGGTAGGTTGACGGGGGATTCCAATAGCCCAGACAAATACCGAAGATCTTGGTCGAGCACGGGCGCCGTGCCATCCTCCTTGGGCGGGGACGGTGGGCAGTCGTCAAAGACGTAGCATTCCTTCTCGACATCATACCACCGGGTATCGGCCGGCTTGCCCAAGTTGGTGCTTGACACAATACTAGTGTTGACCGACACGACATCAGCCGCAACTAAGGCAGGCACGGCAGCGGCTTCAATAGATGGGGCAATAGCGTCGTCGTCCTCGAGCATAACTGGACTGTCTGCGCACATAATCAGGATTTGTACGTTCAATCGATATAACCTTTGCTCGTACCTTGAGTGCCTAGGTTGATGTTCACCACACTGCTTTCCGGTCGTCGCTGAGCTGGACGGCTTCCACTGGTGTCGAGACTGGGGCCGTGGAGTCGCGGGCGGCTGCCCCCAGGACTCCGGCACAGAAGCTCTCTCCGGCACAGCTCTTCGACGGACGGGAAGTCGTCGTCACCTTCGTTACTGGTGGGATCTAGAATATGAGTCGCAACATCTATATTACGTTAGTTAGCGCCTCTTCAAGAAAATGTTTTTCAATTTACACGTACCTAGAGCCTTGACCCTATCGCGTCCAGAGGGGTTCGAGACTTGGAGCTTTTGGGTTACTACTCCAGACTTGGGCCCGGTGTGCTTGAGTTTTGATCCAGCTGTGCTGCGTAACGGCTCTACCTTCTTTCGAGGGTTAATGGTTACGGAGGCACGGCTGCGCTGATACCCATTAGGACGGTAATCGGATGGCATCCAGAAAAGCCCACGGCTCATATCGGCAGTAGTCATGGCGAGAAATTGAGTCTATTAGAAGAAGAAAGACTAAGAAAGACACAAATGTTGATTTCTTGGGGTTGTCTCGAAGGAGCACAGCAGGTTTATATGGCCGTCCTCCGCCTCGTCCTGAGCGCCCATTTCCCATCTCCCTCTTTCCTCATTTGCCGTATAAAAATGCCGTGCCGCCATTGCCACGACTTTAACACAGAGAAGCACGGCACGCTGCAGGAAAATGCCCTCATCCACCCACCTTCGCTGTCCACTTAGCACTCCCAGCCCTGCCACCGTTCCCGAACAGGATATAATCGTTCTCGTCGTGCCAGGCCATGTAGCATACGAGGTCAGGAGGTGCCGGGCTGTCCGCGATTCCCTGGCGCCTCGTGTCCGTCTGTTTGTTGGGTCTGCTGTGACTCGAGAGATCGTGCTATGATTTGCAGTTTGGTCTGCGATTCCTCCCGCTTCGCCCAGTGCTGCTCCCTATCACGGCGTGAGCTCCTCATCTCCTCTACCCCCCTATCAGCGTATCGAGACGAGGCAGACTGCGGTCGATCATGGGATAGACGTGGTTGTGTGACAATCCGGAAGGGAACGGGGTCGTATCCGATCCACAGCATGCTGCTGCTCATGCTCTAGAGGCCCAATGCGTCGCTGCCACTCTCGCAAGTATCAGTCGGCCCTTCTCCTTCCAGGTCAGCTCAGATCCAAGGCAGACTCTGCCACGAACGTCTCTAGCTGATGAGGGGGCTTACCAGGCGCATTTCGCTGCCTGCACAATCTGTGGTCCCGCCGCGGAAGCTGGCCGCGTCATCGCGAGGCATTTTCTCAATTGGCCAGGTCGTGGAGAACGGGGTAACTTCGCGCCTCCTCCTCCTATCTCAGCTCACCCATGTGCGTCACACGGACTCCGCCGCCGCCGCCGCTGCCGGCACGCGATCCATCCGCGGCGCAGCCAGCTGGCAGCCGGATACCATCGTCGTGAGGCATTTCTTCAATTGGCCAGAGTGCAGCACATGAGAACAACGCCAAGGCATAGCCTCCTGCTGTTGCAATCACCGAGGAGCATGGCCGTGAGGGGGTTGATGGTGGTGCGACGGTGAGGACGGGTGGCCGACCTGAGCCCCAGCTCGTATTTTGGCCAATCCAGCACGACTCGGGGGAACAATCGCTATCGAGCCAGCCGCGAGGGCCGCGTCCAGCGAGGTAGATCGACAGTGGTGAAGCTCAAGCCGGCAGCGCCGTCCAGGTCCTCAGCTGCGGCATCGCCGAGATACGCCCGTTCTAGGTAGGTCGAGGAAGGCGGAGGACGAGGGGCGGGTCAGCAGCGCATTGACGGAGACCGAGCAAGGGCAGGCGTGAGTGTTGGGAAGAATCGGAAGAGGTGGGAAAGGAAGAGGGGGCGGGCGCGGCCTCTTTATAGACGTTCAAAGCGGCGGCGGGCCCGTGCACGCGCCTTGCCCGAAGCGGGGGGTCGCTAAACTCAGCGCGGCCGACCGGAGAACTGAGATAATATATAAATAAACAACTCTTTACTACTTACTTACCTTTCTTTTATTAAGCTAACCTTAATTTAGTATATAAGCCCTTTCTTACTCTCTTATCCCTTATACCTCTTACTATACTAACTTTATTAGTCTTCTTATCTACTATTTGTTAATCGTAATTATAAAATAGTATAAAGCCTAAAGCTAAAAGCTACTACTTATATAACTAAGTTATCTAACTATACTACTAAAAAGAGCTATAGTACACTACCTTTAATCTAGTAAAAGGCTCTTTAGATAGCTTAACTAACTTAACTAGCCTAACTAGCTAAATAGTCTAAACCCTTAAGCTAAAAGACAAAGATTTAAACTAGGTAGTAAGTTAATTAGTATAAAGATTAGTATAAAAACTTTACTAATAAATTTAATAACTATAGTACTAAGAGAAATAAGAAAGTACTAAAAGACTACTAAACTATTAATACTATAGGCCTCTTTTATAAGGCTAGTAAAAGAGATTATACTTTAGCTATACCTTAAATTTCGAGTCTAGAGAAGTATAATAAAAGCCTTATAAGAATCTATAAAGGCTATGTTAACTACTAAGTTTTCTTATAAGTATTTAATCTATTATACTAATCTTTATACTAATTAAATAATATATAGTAACAAATCTTACTACTATCTATACTAAAAAAGTAAGGAACGGTCGTCTACGCCCCTTACTACCCTAAAAACTTAAAAATAAACGATAGAATCAAAATTAGTACCTTTAGATACTCCTTAGAGTACTAGTAGACTATAGGCGAGCCTATAGTAACAGATAGTAGGTATACTAGACTTGAACAGAGCTAATACTACCTACTTGTAGGTAGGAGCTAGTACTCTTATACCCTAACTAAGAGCTATAGTAAAGAGCTAGAGAGTAGTAAGAGTAATAAGGACAATAAGATAGAGAAAATCATATAAAGGATTAAGGCTTACGTAATACTAGGTAAGGAGAAAGAGGCGTCGCGTCTCTTACGTAACCTTATTACTATAACGATAACAGTAGTAGAGATAAGAGCTATAAATACGATAACCCTCTTATATACCTTTAGGTCCTCTTTTAATAATAACCTAGTAACGATTAGACAACTAAGAACGATATTAGAAGAGGCCTTCTAGAGGCTAGTAATAACGGTAGCCTCTTAGGCTACCTACGCGTTAGTAGTAAGCTAGCGCCTAACAAGAGTCTAGGTTATACTAGAGAGACGGATTAGAGAGCTAAAGATTAGGGTAGACAGACAGATAGAAGACCTAGTATATCGTAGTACTATTAAAGTAGTAATAGTAGCTAATATAGTAATAAAGGGCGCTAAGGTAGTAACGACCTACTAGCTACCTAGTAGCGACACTATCCTTACGTTTAAAGAGACTATACTAAAGAACGTAATCTAAGATTAGGGCTAGGTATAAAGGGCGTTTAGGCCTATAGCCTAGCTTTATAAGAGTAAGTTTACTATAATCGTAAAAGGCCTACTAGTAGAATAGATTATATAAGTAGAGCTAAGAGCGTTACTAGTAAAGATCTAAGCTTACGCGCTACATGTTATAAAGGTTAAAGTTAAACCTATTAAGGCCCTTATAGTAAAGTTTATAACAGTAGTACTATACCTCTAGAGCGCTAACGCGACGACGCGCCTATATAAATAAGGGTTAATCTAGTAAGCTTAGATCTTTAACTACAAGCTGTATTTAGCTAACCTACAAATCTAAAGATACTTCTAGTACTACTAGTTTAGCTACATTAGGCGGTTCTATAAGAACTAGGCCTAGTACAGCTACTATATAAGAGTAGCGTACCCTTAAGGTAAAGAGGAGTACCCTTAACTTAATAGTAAAAAGAGATACGTTAACTATAGTAGACTATATGCGGTGTAAGACTGTTAGTATCTTAAGGCCCTTAAGGTAAAGGAGTAGGTATATACTATATATTAATAAAGGCCTAGACAGTTTAAGGTGTTTAAGAGTAGCTTTACTAGCTAGGTACCTAGTATTATACTAGCGTCCTTATAAGATAGTAACGATAGCTACTAGATTATAGTATATAAGAGACTATAGACAGGTAATAGTAAGAAGCCTATAGTAAAGACTCTAGTAAGGTAAGAGCGCCCTTTTATTAGGGTACTAGATACTATAACGGTCTAGAGCTATAACATTATAGAGATATTAAGCTAGGAGGCTAACTAAGGGTCTAGCGACCCTTTTGTAACGTAAGAATTATAGATCCTAGACTCTTAGTAATAAAATTAATAATAGTATACTAGAATACTATAAGAAGGAACGGCCTTACCTTAATAGTACTTTATAATAGCCGTAAAGTTAACGTTATAGTAATTTAAGAGCTATAGTACAACACTTAGATAAAGACAGTCTACTACCTAGCGTAAGTAAAGTACTAGTAGGTCTATAAGGGTAAAGGTAAAGTAGCTATCTACATCTATAAGTAGTACCTACTTCTTACCTAAGTAGTAGAGATAAGCGTCGACTAGTATTACGTTACTCTATAAAGAGTTACTATCTAGTTAATATACTCGCTAATTCCTAACTCTCTAGGCTAGGCTAGTCCTCTCTAGTAGCTCGCTAAGGAGGACTTAGAGAGGCTATAGATCGTTATAAGTAATATAAACCTTTATTACCTACTCTAAGACAAAGCTAGTAAGACTACCTCTAAATTAAAGACCTTTCTCTATCTAGCCTATAAGTAGTAGCTCTTACTACGTATACCCTAAGAGAAGCTAATATAGTAGCGACATAATAAACAAGACTTAACGATTAACTATATATAAGTTATAGTGACGCTCTAGTATACTTATTAAGGTAACCTAAGGTATAAGAGATCTAACTACTATACTTAGCTAATTAAGGTTATTACCTAAGTAAAGGATTACTAAAAGAGAGCTATAAAGGTACTAAGATAGAGCTAGACCCTAATAGACAAAGAACTAGTAACGATTAAGGCTAGGAGGCTCTACCTTCTCTTAGAGCTACTAGACATACCTTATAAGGTCGACAAGGTAGTTAACTTACTTACCTCTTAGCTTATACGTATTATAGACATATCTACCTTAAGGAAGAAGGTTAACTAAGGGCGTACTAAGCCCTAGTAGAACAGTAAGGTCCTTAAGGCTGTCTAGTAAGTACAGGTAGTATGCCGTTAATATACTACTGCCCTAACTAAGCTCTACTAGCACGACCTCTAGTAGGCTAGTACCTATTAACTCTATATAATACAAGACGTAAAAACTAAGAGCTAGTATAGTACTCTTACTACTACCTTAAAAGACTAATAGAAACTATAGAGTCTTAAGAGGTAGGCTAGGCTCTATAGCTATATGCCCCTAGAACTAGCCTTACTCTTACCTCTTTAAGGCGCTAATAAGAAGGCACTAGCTATAAGCTACTATAACAAAGTAATAGTATTAGGCTAATAGTTCTTTCTAAAATCGATAGCTAATCTTAGTAACGTCGTTCTAGACCTCTAGAACAAGTAGTACTAACGGTTTACTATTAACAACGCTATAATAAAGGTAGATATTACTAACGTTCTCTAAAAGACAAGTACCTAAAAGGCGCTAGGCCTTAACCTACTACTTACTAGCTTCTTTAAGGTATACAGGCGCCTTCTAGCCAAGCTCCTTATAGTAATAGTAACTATAAGCCTCTAGCTAGGGCACTTCTTTACGTAGTTTAAAGTAGTAAAGGTAGTAGTACTACGTAAGCCTAAAAAGACCCTTAAGTAGTAATAAACCGCTAGGGCCTATAGGCCGATATTACTCTTAAACACGATAGATAAAGTAATTAAGTTAGTAATTAGCCGGTACTTTACTAAAGCCGTAAAGTTATAAGGGCTCTTCTTAGAAACATAGATAAGGAACTAGCTATAGCGCTTAATAGACCTTATAGTTAAAATAGTAGTTAATACTACGTATATAGCGTAAAGTTATAAGGCTATAACGTTCTTCCTTTAACTCGACATTAAAGACGCCTTTAATATAGTAAACTATATATGCCTTCTCTATACTCTCTAGTACCTAGGGTTCTTTATATAGGCCGTATAGTAAGTACGTAGCTTCCTTACTAATTAGACGGCTAGTCTCTTCTTTAACAAGAAAGTAGTACTACCTTAAGAAGTTACTATAAGAGTACTATAAGGTTTATCCTTCTTTCTTATCCTCTTTCTCTTTTATACTACTAGCTTATATATACTACTATAAGGTTATATAGGCCTTATTATAGTAAGGTTTACTAACGACCTTAACCTCTTAGCTTTTAGTAAAGACACGATAAAGACACGCTAGTACCTTAAAGGGGCGTAGTAGACATGTAGCTAGTAGTCGTGTATAAGAGAGATAGAGTTTACCTTAGAAAAGAGTAAGCTCTTTTACCTTACTTGTACTTATACTATACTAATAACGCTTATCTACCTTAATAGCTAAGTTATACCCTTAGTCTAAGAGGTACGCTTTCTAAGAGTTTAGTTAGACTAAAAGCTTAGATAAAAGGGCTACCTTAACGCTATTAAACAAAAGTTCGCTACCTAGTAGTTCGCGCTTATAAGGCTTACTACGTCTATATAAGGATATAGCCTACTACACGTAAGGAAGATCTATATAAAGGTAATCTAGAGTACTATAGTATATAGCGTAAGGGTCTAGTACTACCCTTTTAGGTAGTAAGCTAAGAGGATCGTAAAGGACCTTACTATAAAGTAGTTATAGTACCTTTATATTGTCGTAAAGGCGTACTAAGTAACGCCTGTCTAGTTTCTTAAGTCTAAAATAGCTACGCCCTTACTTAACCTTTACTTTAACAAGTAGGTAGTAGACTTTAAATAACGTCTTAAATGTATAAGTAAGAAAGAACTTATATAGTCTATCTATAATAAGGTAGCGGCCTGTCTTTAATAACGCTAAAGACACTACTATAGCGCTACTATAGTGCTACCTTATACGTTACTTAAGTACAGGACAGGCCGAGCCGCGTAAGTAAAGGACTAGTATAAGGACTCCTTTTTAGAAGAGACCTTATAAGGGAACTAGAAGGCACGATAGTCTTAATATAATAGCTTACTAGTATACTACTAAGGCGCCGCCCCGGCTATACTACCTGTCCTCTTAGTAGATACCCTTAAGAAGTACTTACTTCTCTATAAGTATAAGAGCTCTCTTTTAATATAGATCTATACTAGTAAAGTTAGACTCTAGGCTTTCTTTTTTAAGTATAAAGTACTAGAGGTAGCGACCTCCTAGTACCTTTATAGTAAGGCCCTAGAGATAACAGCTTACCTAGTCTTTAACTACTAGTAGCTAGATTAATAGTAATAGGCCTTATAGTAAGCGCTTTACCTAAGAGCGCTATAGACGTTCCGCGACTTTATAATAATAATAAAGAAAGGTAAGAGCGCTTATATACTAATCTATTAGCTACTATCTACTAGCCGATTCTTATAGTTCTGTCTAGCTAAGCGCTACTTAGTAAAAGAGTTATAAGAGAGAGAGTAGCCTTAGCTAGTAGCTAGCGCCTTACTAGCGCCTTACTAGCGTCCTGTTAGTATGTTTAGTATTACTAGGCTAGAAGGTTAAGTTCTAGTAAGGTAGCGATAAGGACCTAGCGCCTTAGTAGTACTATAATAGTATAAACACAAGTAGTAGTACGTAGGTTTTTACTTAGCTTTAGTACGGTTTTACTACGTAATTTATGTAGTATAGAGGTTCTGTATACAGTAGGCATAGGCAGTAAGAACAATAATAATAATACTATCTATACTAAATAAGTTATAATTTAGTAAAAAGATATAAAGCTTATATAGTCTATATATAATAAAATTCTTAAGTATACTATACTAAGAGGTAAAAGGCTATAAGGCTAAATTTAAAATAAAGTAGTAATAAGATTATAAGTTATAAAGTATAATTTTATTATATATTTTTTATAAATTCTTAAATATAATTTATTAAATAACGCCTTATAAAGTAATTAGTATAAAGATTAGTATAAACTATAATTATTATATTACTACGTAATATTATTAAGGCTTAAATCACGTATTAGGGTCTTAGTAACTTATAGGTTAGGTTATAGGTTAAGGCCTACTTACTAGTCTAAACCTACCTTATAAGTTAGATCCTTATAGGTTAGGTCTTACCTATAGAAACCTAACCTATAGAGACCTATTGTACAGCCTAGTAGCGGCAAGAAAGGAGATGCTGTGTTCTGTAAAGTTAACAGGTAGACTAAGATAGCTATTAAGAACTGGCTATCTATATAGATAGGCTGTATAAAAACCTATAGGTCTCTACTAAATAGGTTAGGTACCTACCTTATAAGGTAGGTTATAGTAAATAAGACCTAACTTATAGGTCCTTAAATAAATCTATAACCTAACCTATAAGGTAGACCTAACCTATAAGTATAGTATATCTTAAGGTACTAAAGTACTTTTATACTTATATAATACTTAAGGTTATAATTATTAATTAGTATAAGGATTAGTATAAAGATTAGTATAAAGATTAGTATAAAGATTAGTATAAAGATTACTTAGATTAGTATAAAGATTAGTATAAAGATTAGTATAGTTATCTTAAGTTTAAATAATTATAAAATAAATAAATTAAAATAGTTTTATATATATTTATTTTAGTACTTAGGCTCTACTATCTTTAAGTCTTTACCTACTTTATTACGTAATCTAAAATAGATCTTCTATCTTATAATTCCTATACTTATTTCCTTAGTATATTAATACCCTTAAGAGTCTTTAGCTTAGATCTTAGAGGTAGAGTTAGTAAAACTAACTCTATACTATTATAATCTCTATTAACTACTAGCTTAAGAATATCCTTATCCTTAAGGTCTTTTAGTAGATTATAGATTAATAGATCTTATATAGTATTTCTTTTCTTATACTCTACTATTTGTATACTACGTATTTTACGTATAGATATAAAGAGTACTTAAGTATTATCTTAAGCTATAGAACGAGCCTATAAGAGCCTCTTATGTATAATAGTATTAAGGCGTCTCTATATCTATAGTGTTTATACTTAATAGCCTGGCTAGTTTAGTTCTTTTTTCTTATTACTAATATAGTAATCTACTACTTATATATTAACTTTCTTTAGATGTAAGTTAACAGATGTTTCTTACTCTTTTAGCTTAGCTTCTATCTCTTCTTTAGTTATACTATTAATATTAATAGTATTAGAAAGTATCTTTCTAAGCTTATTACCTTACTCTTTTTAAAGTTAAGAGAAAAAAACTAATATAAAGGTATAAATAGCTAGAGGTTTAAGTTAGCTATAATAATAGCTATATATATTACGTAAAAAATTAAAGAAACGCTTAATACTAACGCTTATAAGAGAAATATAGAGTAAGTCTTTAGCTATTACTATAAGGCTAGAGAGATAAGTCTTAAGCTACTACTAAACTAAGAAGAGTATATAGTTATTAGGTTCTAGTTTTAAGTTAGTAATTAGTATAAAGATTAGTATAAAATAACTTACTTATCTTAAGCTATATATCTATCTTATTATCTACTATATCTATACTTAACGATTAATCTTAATCTAATACTAATACTATAGTATTTATGTTTACTTCTTAGAGTATTTAAAGACAATTAGAATTTCTTATATAATTATAATAGTTCTTTTAGTATAGTTTATAAAACTACTCTTTAAACTCTAATTACTAATCTTTTACTTTAAAATTAAGCTAATAATAATTAAGATTAAAAGTCTTTAATTTTAACCTTAGGTTTAAGATTATACTTATTATATAAATACTACTAAGATCTATATATATCTTATTATAGTATTAGTTAAGTTTAGCCTTAGTAGTATTAATACCTTAGATAAGAATACAAACCTATAGTTTTTAATTAACTTTTGCCTTTAGTTAATAATAAGATTTAGTTAGGTATTTAAATAACTTGTTATAAATCTATAGAGTATATAGTAAGGTAATACTCTTTATCTTACTAATAGTAGTTATAAAAAAATTAAATAAGTAAAGAAGATTAATTAAATATCTAATTTAATCTTACTTAACGCTTAAGATCTAAAATAAGTATACTACTATATAATCTTTATAAAATTTATTAATAGTATTCTAAAGTCTTATTACCTAAATTAATATTAAAATATTATTATTATTGTTCTTACTACCTATGCTTACTATATATAGAACCTCTATACTACATAAATCACGTAGTAAAACCGTACTAAAGCTAGGTAAAAACCTACGTACTACTACTTATGTTTATACTATTATAGCGCTACTAGGGCGCTAGGTCCTTATTACTACCTTACTAGAACTTAACCTTCTAGCCTAGTAATACTAAACATACTAATAAGACGCTAGTAAGGTACTAGTAAGGCGCTAGCTACTAGCTAGGGCTACTCTTTCTCTTATAACTCCTTTACTAAGTAGCGCTTAGCTAGACAGAACTATAAGAATTGGCTAGTAGATAGTAGCTAATAGATTAGTATATAAGTACTCTTACCTTTCTTTGTTACTACTATAAAGTCGCGGAACGTCTATAGCGCTCTTAGGTAGAGCGCTTACTATAAGGTCTACTACTATTAATCTAGCTACTAGTAGTTAAGGACTAGGTAAGCCGCTATCTCTAGGGCCTTACTATAAGAGTACTAGAGAGTCGCTACCTTTAGTACTCTATACTTAAAAAAGAAAGCCTAGAGTCTAACTTTACTAGTATAGATTTATATTAAAAGAGAGCTCTTATACTTATAAAAGAGTAGGTACTTCTTAAGGGTATCTACTAAAGGGGTAAGTAGCGTAGCTAGGGCAGCGCCTTAGTAGTATACTAGTAAGCTGTCGTATTAAGACTATTGTGCCTTCTAGTTCCTTTATAAGGTCTCTTTTAAGAAGAAGTCCTTATACTAGTCCTTTACTTATATAGCTCGGCCTGCCTTATACTTAAGTAACGTATAAAGTAGTACTATAGTAGCGCTATAGTAGTGTCTCTAGCGTTATTAAAGATAGGCTACTACCTTATTATAGATAGACTATATAAGTTTACTCTTACTTATACGTTTAAGACATTGTTTAAAGTCTACTACTTACTTATTAAAGTAGAGGTCGAGTAAGGGCGTAGCTATTTTAGACTTAAGGAACTAGATAAGCGTTGTCTAGTACGCCTTTATAATAACGTAAAGGTACTATAACTACTTTATAGTAAGGTCTTTTACAATCTCCTTAGCTTACTACCTAAAGGGACAGTACTAGACCCTTATACTATATACTATAGTACTCTAGATTACCTTTATATAGATCTCCTTAGCGCGTAGTAGGCTATAACCTTACGTAGACGTAGTAAGCCTTATAAGCGCGAACTACTAAGTAGTAAACTTTTGTTTAATAGCGTTAAGGTAGCCCTTTTATTTAAGCTTTTAGTCTAACTAAACTCTTAGAAAGCACGCTTCTTAGACTAGGGGTATAACCCGGCTATTAAGGTAGACAAGCGTCGTTAGTATAGCGTAAGTATAAGTAAGGTAAAGGAGCTTACTCTTTTTTAAGGTAAACTCTATCTCTCTTATACGTAACTACTAGCTATATATCTACTACGCCTTTTTAAAGTACTAGCGTATCTTTGTTATATCTTTACTAAAAGCTAAGAGGTTAAGGTTATTAGTAAACCTTACTATAATAAGGCTTATATAACCTTATAGCTACGTGTATAAGCTAGTAGTATAAAGGAAGAAGAGGATAAGAGAAAAGGGCGAACCTTATAGTACCTTTATAGTGACTTCTTAGGGTAGTACTACCTTCTTGTTAAAGAAAAGACTAGCTGTCTAATTAGTAAGGAAGCTATATACTTACTATACGGCCTATATAAGGAACTTTAGGTACTAGAGAGTATAGAGAAGGTGTATATAGTTTACTATATTAAAGGCGCCTTTAATGTTAAGTTAGAAGAAGGACGCTATAGCCTTATAGCTCTATACTATATATATAGCGTTAACTACTATTTTAACTATAAGGTCTATTAAGTACTATAGCCGGTTCCTTATCTACGTTTCTAAAAGGAGCCCTTACGACTCTATAGCTTTAGTAAAGCGCTAGCTAATTACTAACTTAATTACTTTACTTATTACGTTTAAGAGTAATATTAGCCTATAGGCCCTAGCGGTTTACTACTACTTAAGGGTCTTTCTAGGCTTATATAGTACTACTACTTTCGTTACTTTAAACTATATAAGAAAGTGCCCTAGCTAGAGGCTTATAGTTACTATTACTATAAAAAGCTTAGCTAAGGGGCGCTTATATACCTTAAGGAAGCTAGTAGGTAGTAGGTTAAGGCCTAGTGCCTTTTAGGTACCTGTCTTTTAGAGAACGTTAGTAATATCTACCTTTATTATAGTATTGTTAATAGTAAACTATTAGTACTACTTGTTCTAGAGGTCTAGAATAACGTTACTAAGATTAGCTGTTAATTCTAGAAAGAACTATTAGCCTAATACTATTACTTTATTATAATAGCTTATAGCTAGTACCTCTTTATTAGCGCCTTAAAGAGGCAAGAGTAAGGCCGGTTCTAAGAGTATATAGCTATAGAGCCTAGCCTACCTCTTAAGACTCTATAGTTTCTATTAGTCTTTTAAGGTAGTAGTAAGGGTACTATACTAGCTTCTAGTTTTTACGTCTTATATTATATAAAGTTAATAGGTACTAGCCTACTAGAGGTCGCGCTAGTAGAGCTTAGTTAGGGCGGTAGTGTATTAATAGCGTGCTACCTGTACTTACTAGACAGCCTTAAGGACCTTACTGTTTTACTAGGGCTTAGTACGCCCTTAGTTAACCTTCTTTCTTAGAGTAGATATGTCTATAATACGTATAAGCTAAGAGGTAAGTAAGTTAACTACCTTATTAACCTTACTAGGTATGTCTAGTAGCTCTAAGGAGAGGTAGAGCCTTCTAGTCTTAATCGTTACTAGTTCTTAGTCTATTAGGGTCTAGCTCTATCTTAGGGCCTTTACGGCTTTCTCTTAGTAATCCCTTACTTAAGTAATAACCTTAATTAGCTAGGTATAGTAGTTAGATCCTTTATACCTTAGGTTACCTTAATAAGTATACTAGAGCGTCGCTATAACCTACGTATAGTTAATCGTTAAGTCTTGTTTATTATATTACTACTATATTAGCTCTCTCTAGGGTATATGTAGTAAGAGCTACTACTTATAGACTAGATAGAGAAGGGTCTCTAATTTAAGGGTAGTCTTACTAGCTCTATCTTAGAGTAGGTAATAAAGGTTTATATTACTTATAACGATCTATAGCCTCTTTAGGTCCTTTTTAGTAAGCCGCTAAAGAGGGCTAGCCTAGCCTAAGGAGTTAGGAATCGGCAAGTATATTAACTAGATAGTAACTCTTTATAAAGTAACGTAATACTAGTCGACGCCTGTCTCTACTACTTAAGTAAGAGGTAGGTACTACTTATAGATATAGATAGCTACTTTACCTTCGCCCTTATAGACCTACTAGTACTTTACTTGTACTAAGTAGTAGACTGTCTTTGTCTAAGTATTATACTATAGCTCCTAAATTACTATAACGTTAACTTTATAGCTATTATAAAGTACTATTAAGGTAAGGCCGTTTCGTTTTATAGTGTTCTAGTATACTATTATTAATTTTATTACTAAGAGTCTAGGATCTACGATTCTTGTGTTATAAAGGGGTCGCTAGACCCTTAGTTAGCCCCCTAGCTTAACATCTCTATAATGTTGTAGCTTTAGACTATTATAGTATCTAGTACCTTAATAAAGAGGCGCCCTTACCTTACTAGAGTCTTTACTATAGGCTTCTTACTATTGCCTGTCTATAGTCTCTTATGTACTACGATCTAGTAGCTATTGTTACTATCTTATAAGGACGCTAGCGTAATACTAGGTACCTAGCTAGTAAAGCTACTCTTAGATACCTTAAACTATCTAGGCCTTTATTAATATATAGTATGTACCTACTTCTTTACCTTAAGGGCCTTAAGATACTAATAGTCTTACGTTACGTATAGTCTACTATAGTTAATATATCTCTTTCTACTATTAAGTTAAGGGTACTCTTCTTTACTCTAGAGGTACGCTACTCTTATATAGTAGCTGTACTAGGCCTAGTTCTTATAGAACCGCCTAATGTAGCCGAACTAGTAGTATTAGAAGTATCTTTAGATTTATAAGTTAGCTAAATACAGCTTGTAGTTAAAGATCTAGGCTTACTAGATTAACCCTTATTTGTATAGGCGCGTTACTATATTAGTACTCTAAAGGTATAACACTACTATTATAAACTTTACTATAAGGGCCTTAATAAGTTTAACTTTAACTTTTATAACATATAGTACGTAAGCTTAGATCTCTACTAGTAACGCTCTTAGCTCTACTTATATAATCTGTTCTACTAGTAGGCCTTTTATAATTATAGTAAACTTACTCTTATAGAGCTAGGCTATAGGCCTAAACGCCCTTTATACCTAGCCCTAATCTTAGATTACGTTCTTTAGTATAGCCTTCTTAAACGTAAGGATAGTGTTACTACTAGGTAGCTAGTAGGTTACTACTACTTTAGCGCCCTTTATTACTATATTAGTTACTGTTACTACTTTAATAGCGCTATAACGTACTAGGTCTTTTGTTTATCTGTCTGCCTTAATCTTTAGCTCCTTAATCTATCTCTCTAGTATAACCTATACTCTTGTTAGGCGCTAGCTCGTTACTAACGCGTAAGTAGCCTAAGAGGCCGCTATTATTACTAGCCTCTAGAAAGCCTCTTCTAATATCGTTCTTAATTAACTAATCGTTACTAGGTCGTCGTTAGAAGAGGACCTAGAAGTACGTAAGAGAGTCGTCGTGTTTATAGCTCTTGTCTTTACTACTATTATTATTATAGTAATAAGGTCGTGTAAGAGACGTAACGCCTTCTTCTCTTTACCTAGTATTATATAGGCTTTAATCCTTTATATAATTTTCTCTGTCTTATTATCCTTATTACTTTTACTACTCTCTAGCTCCTTACTATAGCTCTTAGTTAGGGTATAAGAGTACTAGCTTCTACTTATAAGTAGGTAGTGTTAGCTCTGTTTAAGTCTAGTATACTTACTATCTGTTACTATAGGCTCGCTTATAGTCTACTAGTACTCTAGGGGGTATCTAAAGGTACTAATTTTAATTCTATCGTTTATTTTTGAGTTTTTAGGGTAGTAGAGAGCGTAGACGACTATTTTTTTTTTTTTTTTACTAGTATATATAGTATACCTTAGTTACTTACTTATTATATTCTTTTAAGCTTGTTTATCTCTTACTTATTCTTCTAATCCTAAATAAATGTTTTATTTATTAGTTATAGTTAAATTATACTTAAGAGCGCTTTTATAGTAAGCTAAAGAATATATAATAAATAAGGAATATATTAGATTTACTTATTAAGAAAACGATTGTTCTTTAGTATGTCTTTAAGATACAAATTAATTTTATCTACTATTATATAGTTATTACTAGTATTATTAGTTATAATTAATATTACTTAACTAGTTAGGTTAAGATTTGTTAGTAAATTATTAATAACTGTCGCTAGGGCCTATCTTAAATAAACATTATATAGGTTTTTAAACCTAATTAACTCTTTCTAAAGTACCTAGTCTTTATTAATATAATATACTATAATACTTATAAACAAAAGGCGTGTAAGACTTAACTAATAATTAAGAGATAAGGCTACCTTACTGTCTAGTACTAGGTTTATAAGTATGTTCTCTTTAACTTAAGTAACACGCTATATTAGACAGGTCTATATAGTTGTTACTAATAGTAATTAAAAACAAGGATTTAATAGCTTTAATAGCTGTTAGAGATTAGTGTTTTCTATAGCTTAGAAAGAGAGTTATAAAGAAACAATTATTTTAAGGACCTAGTCTTAAAAAGCCTTAGTTATAAGAGTAGTAGACTATATATACTAGTTAGTTTATACTAATCTTTATACTAACTAGTTATACTTATAGTTATAGATAATAAAACAGCCTTATAAAGAGAGAGTTATCTTTATAAGCCTTAACTTTAACTTATAGATACGTTAATATATTATTTAGACGTTAAGTATTTTATAAGAGTAGTAGTACTAGTTATAAGTACTCTTAAATTAGAATAGACAAGTATTATAGAATACTTCTAGTATATAACTACTAGTTTACTAGTATACTAATTTGTAGCCTAGTAGAATTATTACTAGTATACTAATCTTTTAGTTATATCTTAACCTAGTTATTTTACTACGTTAGTATTATTTAAACCTACTATTATAGCTACCTAATCTATCTATAGCTACTAGGTAAGAAATTAGTAATGTTAGTCTTTAGTCTACTAGAAACATTAATTTCTTTAGCTAATAGTATTTAGTAAAGGTCTGTTAGTAATAGTGTTATTACTAAATAGGTTTATAGCTAAGAAGGAATTAGAAATAAATATAGTAGTAGATAATAAAGACATTATATAATGTTATAATTATAAGGGGTGGTTTTTAATAATACGAATGTTTAGAAGAGTAAGTTGTGTTTAAAAAAGAAGGTAAGTTGTGTTTAAAAAAGAAGGTAAGTTACGTTTAAAAAAGAAGGTAAGTTGTGTTTAAAAAAGAAGGAATTAAGGAGATTAGTATAAAGATTAGTATAAATATATAATATAATATATTAAGTTATACTAAGTACGTCCTTATAGTAATAACAAATTCTTAAAGATCCTTTAAAGGCTTTAATTCTACTACTATATACTATTAGTAACTTAGCTATTCTTTTGTTTATTTATTTTAGGAATCGTAATCTCTACTATATATAGTACGTCTCTAACAATCCTTAATTTTAGATATCTTAATTTCTACTATATAAATTATAAGCTATACTATTATAAATAAGAGTATTATAACTAAATATAAGTTATATATAAAAGAAAGAATAATTATTTTATATTTCTTTTTTATAAAAAATTAAATATAAAAAAACGCCTTTAGTATCTCTTTAGTCTTAATTAAATCCTTTATTATAAAGAGGTCTATACTAGACAAAAAGACGTGATTGTACGTCTTGTTAAAGGGCTCTTTATTAGTATAGATTAGTCTATACGCCTAGTAATACTTAAAGTACTAGTTAGAAAACGTAAACCTTATATTATTAATCTCTAGATCTTTTAGCTACTAATCTATAGGCCTTAGTAAATCTACTTATTTATTATTATTTTTATACTATATAACTATATTCTTTTATATAGCTTTCTTTCTTAATATAAAAAATTACTTAAGTAGTAAGAAGTCTTATAAGTCCTTATTATTTATAGTAGATTAGTATAAAGATTAGTATAATAATTACTAAGATACGTACTTATTTACTATTAGATAATATAGCCTATCTTTCTTTAGCTATTCTATTTCTTCTTTCTTAAGCTTTATTACCTTATAATAAAAGCTTCTCTTACTTTAGTACTATTTCTACTACTAGAGGTAGAACTCTTAGGCTATATTACTTTAGGCGTAGTTAGCGTTATACTAATCTTTATACTAATCTAATATAAAACTAGTATACCTAGACGTAGCTCTACTATACCTTAACTTCTCTTTTATTAATATTATTATTAATTTTGTTAACGCTTTTATTATTTAATTTTTTATCTTTTTACTATATCTCTTTATATTACGTAGTATTTTCTTCTTTAAAGTCGATATCTTTTTAAGTAAGATTTCTATTATCTTTAATAGTAAATTGTCTACTAATCTTACTATAGCCTAGCTCTTAAGCTAAGGTCTTTTAGTCCTTTCTTATTTGTAATCTAATATTAATTAGTATAAAGATTAGTATAAAATACCTTAGTATATAAAAGTTAAACATACCTTTATAGTAGAACTTAGTCTCTTATATTATTAAGTATTTATTGTTTTTATATATTAGATATACTAATAAATTTAGATATTTCTTTTACTTTCTTTCTAACGTATATTATAGCCTTTTAGTTAGTAGCTTTTACTTTATTAATCTTTTTAACGACTTTATTATCTATATCTTAGCGCTTTTATACCTTAATTGTGTTTAGGTTTATTAAGAGCTCTTTTATAGCCTTACGCTTTAAGTTTCTACTATTACTATTATTTATTATTACTATTATAGTTATTAAAATTTAACTATATTATTAATTAGTATAATAATTAGTATAGATTAATACGTAAACTTATACCTACTATATACCTTCTTGTATTTGTATTAAAGGAAATCTTTAAAAGAAGGAAAGCTACAGATTAATTAAAGGAATTCTTTAAAAGAAGGAGCTATAGATTAATTAAAAGAATTCTTTAAAAGAAGAGAGCTATAGATTAATTAAAAGAATTCTTTAAAAGGTAAGCCGTAGATTAGGTCGTTATTATTATTAATTAACTATGTTAATAATTAGTATAATAATTAGTATAGATTAATACGTAAACTATACCTATTGTTGTTATTATTATTATTATTATTATAAAGGTAGAGTAGTAGTAAAAGAAGTAGAATAGTAAAAGTAAAAAATGTTTAGTAAAATTAATTTACTTTTAAACTCTTTATTTAATATTTAGGCTATAACTTTACTTTTAGACTCTTTATTTAATATTTAGGCTAATTTAATAAACTCTTAGTTCTTTAGACTCTTTATTCTATATTTAGACTATTAAATAGTATAAGTATAAAATAAAGATAAAAAAAGAAAGAAAAGAAAGGGGTTTAAAAGTAAATTAGTAATAAGTTTAAATAATACTTTAAAATTTTTTATATAATGTTTTATAATACTCTTTTACGTAATTAATAGAAATATTAGTATAATAATTAAAATAAATAATAGATAGACACGTTTAACGCGTCTTACTGTCCTTATTCTTATTATATTATATAGTACTATTATTATAGCGCTATAAGTAAGGTAGTTAGTTATAAAGTAAATTAATTTTACTAAAAATTTACTAAGCCTTTATTTTTATAATATATAAATAGACAACTCTTTACTACTTACTTACCTTTCTTTTATTAAGCTAACCTTAATTTAGTATATAAGCCCTTCCTTACTTTCTTACTCTTTATACCTCTTACTATACTAACTTTATTAGTCTTCTTATCTACTATTTATTAATCGTAATTATAAAATAGCGTAAAGCCTAAAGCTAAAAGCTACTACTTATATAACTAAGTTGTCTAACTATACTACTAAAAAGAGCTATAGTACACTACCTCTAATCTAGTAAAAGGCTCTCTAGATAGCCTAACTAACCTAACTAGCCTAACTAGCCTAACTAGCTAAATAGTCTAAACCCTTAGGCTAAAAAACAAAGATTTAAACTAGGTAGTAAGTTAATTAGTATAAAGATTAGTATAAAAACTCTACTAATAAATTTAATAGCTATAACGCTAAGAGAAATAAGAAAGTACTAAAAGACTACTAAACTATTAATACTATAAGTACCTTTTATAAGGCTAGTAAAAGAGATTATACTTTAGCTATACCTTAAATTCTAAGTCTAGAGAAGCGTAATAAAAGCCTTATAAGAATCTATAAAGGCTATGTTAACTACTAAGTTTTTCTATAAGTATTTAATCTATTATACTAATCTTTATACTAATTAAATAACATATAGTAACAAATCTTACTACTATCTATACTAAACAAGTTATAATTTAGTAAAAGGATATAAAGCTTATATAGTCTATACGTAATAAAATTCTTAAGTATACTATACTAAGAGGTAAAAGGCTATAAGGCTAAATTTAAAATAGAATAGTAATAAGATTATAAGTTATAAGGTATGATTTTATTATATATTTTTTATAAATTCCTAAATATAATCTATTAAATAACGCCTTATAAAGTAATTAGTATAAAGATTAGTATAAACTATAATTATTATACTACTACGTAATATTATTAAGGCTTAAATTACGTGTTAGGGTCTTAGTAACCTATAAGATAGGTTATAGGTTAAGGCCTACCTACTAGTCTAAACCTACCCTATAGGTTAGATCCCTATAGGTTAGGTCCTACCTATAGAAACCTAACCTATAGGGACCTATTGCGCAGCCTACACACAGAAGGAGATGATCAGCTTCAGACCTCTCTTTGTCCCCGAAGGGAAAGCATACAAGGAATTATCCCCTCACTCGCTGTATCCCACCCTTGGCAAAGACGTAACGCTCCCCCAATACCGGCCACCGGATCTCGATACACCAGGCTCTTCTTTCGGTCGCCCACATGATCAGTTCCCGGTGTGGTACTTCTTCTACGGCACGCTAGCCGATGCTCCGAAGCTCGCAAGTCTGCTTTCTCTCCCGGAAGGTGAGATTCCCATCTTGTATGAAGCGAGTGTGAGGGGAGGAAGGATGGAGACGTGGGGTAAGGGAAAGTATAATGCTCTTGTTGATGGACCTGGGACGAGCTGTATTAAGGGATCAGCGTACCAGGTCATGTCAGAAGAACACGAGGATGCGCTGAGAAAATACGAGACTAACGCGTATGAGGTTGTGAGGTGTTCGATTGAGATGAATGGTGCGATAGTGGAGGGGTGTACGTTCAGATTTGTGGGCGAAATCGACTGAGGTCTGGAGATGGTGGGGTTAAATAGTCATTGAGTTGTGTATAGCTGGGTTTGTGTGGTGTGAATGGAGGTTGGAAAAGGTGTAAGACTGCAAGTAATCCATTGCTGTTAGACTTTCTCTATAAGGTAGAAGGTAGAGTTAAGTACTACGCTAGAGAAATAATACCCCCTGTCTTCTCTTTGATATCATCCATAAGGTCTTGGACTGGCGTAACATAGCCGGTCTCGAGGTACGCGTCACTGCCGATGACTATGCCAACCCATTCTTTCTTTAGATTAATCACCATGGCACCCGAGTCTCCCCCCTTCGCAAACTGGTGACCCCCAATTGCCGTTAAAAGCACAGACTCCATAGATTTCATTCCATTCTCCCACCACACTTCGGTCTTTATAGAACTCACTTCGCCAGCTGTAATCGTTGTAGTTCGACCAGTCTTGGCTACCCAGGCTCCCTTAACAAGTGGAGCATATTTCGAGACAACTTCGTCTGGCTCTACTTTATACCGGAGTCTTCCATTAAATAGCTCCGCAGGACTAAATGTTGCTGCGGGAGGCTTGTTCTGAGAGAATGAATCAGGCGAATTAAGGACGACTAAAGCCCAATCCATGCGGGTGTCTTTGTTATTCTTCCGGAAGCCTGATGAGTATTCGACGCCGCCGATGCCTCCAGCAGACGCATATCGATTAATTGTTTGGATGGTCTTCCTGCTCACTCCATTATCTTCGTCACCGTTCGCGATCTCTGACAACAATATACTTCTCGTTTTGGCTGTGTCATACGCTGCGGGGTAGTCGACCTTGATACGATGTTCAACTTTCCTGCCGTCAAGACCAATCCCGTGAACATCGTTACTGCTCCTGTTTGCGGGGTCACCAGAAGTAATAAGATGATGGCATGTTAAAAAACATTTCTTCTTCTCGGTTTCACCAAATGGCTGGAAATACAACCAAACCCCGAGACTTCCAGCAGTGAGTTCATCACCCCGTGGCCCAATCGACGAGCCGTTAACGGCAGTTTCTGGCAGATCTCGGTAGACTATTGGACCTTCGTCTTCCGACAGAACAGCCGAGGGTCGGAAGAGGCCTGGCATGATTTCGAGGTTGATCTCAAGATCTAAATTCACAGATTTGATAGCTTCCTCAATCTGGCTTTCTACCGTTTGCCAAAGATGCCTTGTGCCTGGCTTAACTGTGATTATCACCGTCGGCTTTCGATCAGATGCCCGGAGTCTTGGTCCACGCATGTGATATTCGATTGTCTTCCAATATCCTGGGCAGCTTTTTTCAACTTGTGCCGAGACGATTGGTTGGACTTGCATAAGAGCTCTGTGGATGTCCGTGTCGGGTCGGATGATTGATGATGCATCGAAGTACATCTTCTCCTGGTTTCTTATCTCGACCCCAATCTTGAGACCAGCAGGGCCTGCAGCGTTCTCTATCACGCCTTGGATCACGGTCGCTGCTTGTTCCCAACACTCAGTGTTCTCATCACGCGTCAATATGATGAGCATATTCTTCTTTTTGGAAGGGAAGCCTCGACGGTTCAAAGTTTGAACACTGACTTGGCGTAATGTAATGCTGAATTCCTCGAGCACCTTCTCGTAACTGCGTCGTTTACTCTTAACAATATCATGGACCTCCTGGGAGGCTGGGTGGTTGTCAAATGGGTAAGGTACCGGGATCTCGTTGCTAGGGGCTTGACGAAACGGGTCCTTTCTAGCCACGAAGTATTCAATACTAGATGCACCAGTAACTATAGGCATATTAGCTCAGCAAGTCGGTAGTGGAGTTTAGTAACGTACACGAATCATAATCCTCCGACGATTCGCTGCTCGGGACGAACTTCCTTTTTCGTACATTTACAACCATATTGACTATAGTCTATGTATGATTGGATGCTCGATATGTTGTCGGATGGAGAGGTGAGCTGATGTTTTGTTGAATGAAGGGGGAGCTGATGAACTTCTGGATGGGGAGGTGAGCTGATGTTTTGTGGGATGGAGAGGGGGAGGAGCTGAGTAGATACCGTACCTGGCGAGGTATCTAATAGTAGGCTCGCTTATGTGTAGCTCTCCACGTGACCACCTTATTCTTGCCCTACCTGAAGGCCTAAAGGCTCGCTAGAGATTCGCTTATCGATATTGTTAGGTTCGGCTATAGAGGAGGAAGCTTTGTCGAAATGGAATAAAGGGGCAGCGGAAAATTAGGTAGGTAAAGGTTTCTCGTTATTTTAATGCAATTAATTGCAATGCGGGTACTGTTCGATCATCATGAGTATAATCTGATAGATAAGACATGATAAAAAGCATCACTCTCCAAGGAAGTACTTTACCTACAGACCTACCTACCTGCTCCCGCTTCCCCCCACTCTCTCGCAACTTCCTCGACGCAGGACATGTTTGGATTTGAGTTTGCCAGCAGCAATGGTAGGAGAGCCCCTGACCGATACTCTCCAGTCCGAAGAGAAACCAGACCTCGTCATGTATACCCTGGACAATATCAAACACGACAAAGAATCCATTTCGAAACTTCGGCATCGCAATCACATCATTATCCGATATGACAAGGGGCAAGGATCGTTTATATGTAGTGCTGTATGCGGGTGGTAATCGTCCGGTGAATATGCCCGGGAGAGAAGACCAGTAAGTCTTGAGCTTGTTAGTACCTAATTTCTGATATGAAGATCCTTCAGGGCCGACAGTATGTCTGTTCACGGTTCCAGGATTAGTGGTCCCCAGAACAGACAGAAGCGCTCGCTTGTATCGAGCAAAGAATCAAGAATCAATACTGACATGTTCTCCTGGACGACTAGGTATCATTGGGCATTGCTGGTGGGGCCGAAGAAAGAGAAGAAGAAAAGCCGGGCCGTGCTGCACCACGCGCAGGAACGGTTGCGTGAAACGGGAATCGGGACGGAGTTCTTCTATGATAGACGCGATGTGCCAACGGGAGCGACCTATATGTCCCTGGTGCGGGTCATGATTGGGAAGGTGGAGAACAAAGATGTGCTGGCGGACACAATAAAGGGCGTGCAGATCAGAAATGAGGACCCGGAGTGGAACTGTGTGATCTGGGTGAAGGAGGCGTTGGAGGCGTTGCTGTTGGCTGGGGCGCTCGGGACGAACAATGCGGCGTGGGAAAAGGTGCGGGAGACGGTGATGTGGTATATGGAGAAGAAGAAAGAGGAGCATCGGTATGATGGACAGGGTGGCTTCGATATGGACAAACCGGCAACGTTTGATATGCTAAAGGACAAGGAGACAATAGCCTAGGGCCCACGTGCTGCCGTTGGATCTTCCATCAAAATCCGGGATGGTTGTAGCCACTGAGAGAATAGTTTAGTGATACCAAAGTCCCACTTCGGGCTGCTCTACCCAGTAGGAATATTATTTCTATACTTCTGATGGTGCTTTCCGTTGCGGATTCCTTGGGCATCGGCTCTGGGAATTTATCAGCCTCGTCTTGCTAGAGAAGTTTGAAGGATTGGCTTGATACGTCAAAGCTGCGCAGAAACCCATGGATCCCCTAGATACGTCGTTACATCCTCAATCCCTACTGAGCGGGTCGACAGTGACATAGCGGTTCGCAGCCAGGCCACGGGTGACACAGCACAGCGAGGTCTCGAACCCCAGTCACTATCTCAGCTTATAGACAGCAACCCACGCCCGATGAGAATCATAGGCCTAGCAAAGGAGCCTTGCAACCTGCAAAGGAAAAGAGAAAACAGTAGCAAGACATTCTTGCCGGGTCTCCTTTGGAAGAGCCAGAGCCACCCCCAAAGCCTCAACCTTCTTCGATGTCAGCTCTAAATCCACGTGGAGTGCAGAGATGGGCCCAGATGTTTGAGATGAGTGATGAAGAGGACTCCACTATCTGATAGACAGGAAGATCTAGAGCGGCTTGATAGTTGCGACTCTGCGAGGACGAGGCAGCTGTTCAAATGCTTCGGTTTTGGCGCTGGAGCAGGTTGGATGATGGATATTGGTACTTCATACTTAGCCCTTTGTTCACCTACCGTTACGTCACTCATCATTGGAGGGGATGAAGCATTCGGCGATGGTTGGGATTCATTGTTGGAGATGGTAGACCTTTCACTCGATGAGATTACTAAGCATACCCCAAAGATAAGATTAGATTAGATAACGCGATTGACAAAAATGTGCCTCGGTATTCAACTTGAAGAGTACGGAGTATCTAGGTATTCTATAAAATATCTGATTATTAACCTATAGACTCATTATAATACAATATCATTGCAATCTATTTCATTGTTGAAAAAATCTACAGCCGGTCGGAAAGTCTTTCAAATGCTGATCTCAACGCTGAGGGGTATATATCGGGCTCTAGTCTTAGCCTCTAGATTCCTTCCTTGCTCAAAGACCAAGCTATCCAAGGAGAGCAGTCAAGGCCATCCCACCTCCAAACATCGCCGCCACGCTCACAATACTCGCAATCGAGAGCTGGCTCATGCCACTAATACCATGCCCGCTCGTGCAACCGCCCGCAATTCTCGCTCCGAAAAGCATCACCACGCCCCCAATCACACTCCTCAGCTTGCCAATCTGCAGCTGCTCCGCTGCTGGGATCTCCACAGCTCTGCTCAGGGCAAAGCTGCCAAGCACAGTGCCGAGGGCGAAGGCGGTAGAGCGAATAGTAGGTCGAGGGCCCGCTTTGCCGAAGAGTGATTTTTGCGCCCACCAGAATAGGTCCCCGATCTGCTCGTAGGCGGCGGAGATCCCGAGCGTGTTACCCGTCAGGATCAGATTCGCTGCTTGACTGCCGCCGATCAATAACCCACCCACGACAGGCGCAACCAACACCTGCCGATCCCCAGGCACCAAGGAGCTAGCGATGGCGACGACTGCTGCACATAGTGCAATATACGCGACTACCGCCCCTCCCTGGCTGACACCTAGGCGCTGGTACACAGCGGGCTTCTCAAGAAGTTCTCGGTCCTCCACTTTGACTTTCAAGCCCTTGCCGAAGCGCGAGTAGAGGATTCCGCCGAGGACGGAACCAAAGGCAACGAGGGGAGCGGAGGGAACTGAGGTGGCGACTTGAGGGAGCACGGTGCCGGGACAAGCCCCTGTGAGAGCCAATCCGCAACCAAGCAGGAGACCGCCAACGATGTTGCCGTCGTAAGGGCTGAAGATGTTGATGGATGAGGGAGCATTTGGGGAGTTCTTCGAAATATGAAGGCGGTTGCACAGAAAGATGGCAAGGCTGCGGGTTTGATTGTTAGTCATCATGCAATAGGCTTCAAGAGAGGCGGATTAGGTGCCGTACGAGCTGGTTGCGCTGGCGGTGAGGAACGCCTTGAGCATATGGAAGTCTGCCATGTGCATCTGGCCGATGATGACGGAGGGAGAATAGACTCCTGCTGCAGTCAGAGCAGCGCCGAAGAGGGCACCGGACGTTATGGGTTTGAGAGGTGCCAGATCCATCTTGCCGTGCTGGTCAGGTCTGCGCAACGAAATTTGTTTCGTGGCTATTGTTCGTAGCCGTGTTGTTTTTTGTCAGGATGTACCTCCGCAGAGCCGAAATAATGGCTGGACTGGCCTTGGCAAGGAAGATACTTAGTCCGCCGCAAGGATATATGGAGGAGGAATGAAAAATATGTAGCAGTCAAGAGGAAGAAAAAGAGACAAAGATCTTTTGAGGAAGAGAGAAAGAAGAAGAATATTAAGAATATCAAGAATATACGCAGGGATCCCAAGTCTTAGAAGAAACCCCCCTGAGCGATTTTCATTCCCGTATCAAAATGACGTAATAACACGTGGATCCCAGACAGGGCGAGAATTGCCCCTTTGCATCCCATAATGGCGTCTTTCAGAAAACAAATATATATATAAAACAAGACGCCAAGAAGATGCAGTTTGAAGGAAAAGAGGGAAGAAATAAAGACTCCACAAGGCTGCAGATATATAGCTTACCTTACATAATCACTCGTTGTTATGCCAACCTCGTGCAGTCGGACCCTTTCCATTTTCCCTCCTCTGAACAGCTCCTTTTTTCAGTCCCTTTCGCTGGAAGCAATACAAGCCGAGTTCTTCAGCTGTCATTCCTGGAGTAGTCAACTTCAAAAGCGGAACCTTTCGTCTTTGACTTGTGGCAAGTGCCCGAAGGCCGAAGAGGTGTGGGAGGAATTCCGATGCCCCTCTGTTTGCTTGCTGTCACCGCCTTCAAGGAACGCGGCATCCAGCACATTATCGCAGCCACAACCACAACTACCGTGATGCTTCTTCAGTAAATGCTGTTTTGGATGCTCTTTGGACTTGAAGACTAACAAGCGGTAATGGCATCAGGACTTCATTCCAACCTGCCGGAATGTCAAGACTCAAGCCTGTGGTCTCCATCTTGGGCGGCCCCATCCCCACAACCCCAGGCCAACCTCCGCATATTCAACTCCATGCCCCCGCATTCCCAGTAAGGGCCATGCACCCCGAGCTTATGGATCCTATCGCACCTATCGAGATGCCCTATGTCAGCCCTGGATTGCGGGGTTGCCGTCCATTCGGCTGATCGCTCTCCCGACCCCTACATGTCCAATAGTAGGGCACTTATGTGATCGCCGTCATTGCGGACCAGATTCATTGCTGTTCTTGCTTCAAGAGACCAGAGAAGTACCAATAATCTCCTATATGTCTTCGAGATTATCTGACATAGAATATTATGACCGCGGTCCCTCAAGTATCAGGTTGCAGTCTGCAATCTGTCGTTGATATCTGTGGAGGTCTCATCAGTGCATGCTTAGCAGGATAACCGCCCTGGAAGGCTGTGATGTAGAACCGGCAACCCTCTCATAGGTGCTTTCTTACTACTTCCTCCCCGGTGCAGGTGGCCAAGCGGCAACCACCACTGCACATGGTACCTGGAGTGCGGGATTCTTCCGATGGAACAGTCTCCCCGCCGTTCCGTGGTTGCACTTCGATATGGAGAGCGCGTTGCCATACTCAAATAAGTTCTTGTGCCCTCATGATATCGCACTTCCCATTCACACTTTGGCTCTACGTCGATATAGCTGAGTTAAGCAAATCGTTTCGTCTCAATGGTTTTCTAAGATCTCCTCATCATTGATGATAATTCATAAATTGATCAAAATTTACCCCTCAGTTGATCAATATTGTATCTCTTCCTTCTCTAAACCGATACTCTCGTCAGAATGTTCGCAGATCCCGTCATTCAAGTTCTCACTTGGTACTGGCCAGCGGTCCTAGCCGTTGCTTTCGTCTCGTACCTGGTCAAGAATCGATTTAATCGCGGCTTGAACAAGTATCCCGGGCCCTTCCTCGCCTCTCTGACAGACTGGTGGAGATTCTGGGACGTTTACAAACGCCGGCCAGAAGTTACGCATATCCAGTTGCATGCCAAGCATGGAAATGTGGTACGGCTAGGGCCTAACGATTTGTCGTTCGCTGATCCGAAAGCTTTGAAAACAATCTATGGGCTCAACAAGGGTTTCACGAAGGTATCAACTCGTTTCCGGCCTCTCTTTGAGGGCCATTCGAACTAATAAACACGACAGTCTGGCTTCTACCCCGTGCAAATGACTGTGTCTAAGGGACACCGTCTTCCTAGTCTCTTCACCTCCCTCTCCGAAGAGTTCCATGCCCAACTACGACGCTGCGTCAACTCTGCATTCTCAATGTCCACCCTGATCCAATACGAACCATTCGTAGATTCTACGAGCGAACTCTTCTTATCCCAGACGGAAAAGCTTTACGCCGATACTGGGGCAGTGTGCGACTTCTCGCGCTGGTTGCAGTTTTATGCATTTGATGTCATCGGGGATATTACTTACAGCAAGAGACACGGGTTTTTGGCAGAGAACAAAGATATTGATGGAATAGTGCATTCGATCTCCAAGTTATTAGACTACGTTGCTCCTGTACTTCCCCCTTCCACTTCCGTTCCCCGCTCCTCTTATCCCTTCATATGAGGTAAACGCGAACAAATACTGACACGCATAAGATTGGACAAATTCCCTTTCTTGATCTTTTATTCAAGAAGAACCCACTTTACCTCCTCGCTTCAACTTACGGACTTGTCGATTCCACCTTTGCTGTTGCTCGCTTTGCACAAGTACGCATCCGTGAACGCTTCCCCCACATGGCCCCTGGCTCGATTCTGCCAACCAATATCTCCAAAGAATCCATGGCAACATCTCCACCCGATCTCCTTTCAAAATTTATCCAAGCCAAAATCGACAGACCAGAATTCATGACCGATTCGCTTGTCATGACCATGGCCGTCAGCATGGCCTTCGCAGGCAGCGAAACCACCGCCAGCAGCCTCTCCGCGGTGTTCTACTACCTACTAAAAAACCCCCGGTGTATGCAGAAGCTCCTGAACGAACTGGATAGTCGAGCCCGTGAAGGCTATTTCCGGGATAACGACAAGGGGCTCGTGACGTGGAGCGAGAGCCAAGGATTGCCCTATCTCGACGCCTGCATTAAGGAAGCTTTCCGTCTACACCCCGCTGCTGGCCTCCCCCTAGAACGCGTTGTACCGCCCCAGGGCGCCGAGATAGCCGGGACGTTCGTCAAAGGCGGGACGATCGTCGGGTGTTCAGCGTGGGTTATCCACCGCCGTAAGGAAATCTTCGGCGAAGATGTGGACGTCTTCCGCCCGGAACGCTGGCTGGTAGGACAGGGTAGGGAGGGTGTTTTGGATGACAAGGAGAGGAATGCGGAAGAGAAGAGGATTAAGGAAATGAGTAGTGTGATGTTGCATTTTGGCATGGGGTCTCGCACGTGCATTGGCAAGAATATCAGTCTGCTGGAGATTTATAAGTTGGTCCCTGCAGTTCTAAGAAGATTTGAGGTATGTTTTCTTTCTATCTTACGGACATCCAATTCAGCTTTCTCTAATTTTCTCCCCTTTGGCAGTCCGAGGTTGGAAATACTGACACCAGAACAGGTAAATCTCGAACATCCAGATCTCGAATGGAAGCTTCATAATGCATGGTTTGTCCGACAGCTGAACTTCCACACCACGTTCACGAGGAGGGAGCTCGTGAAGCCGATCTCGTGAAGCTGGTCTCCGCATCATACCAGGTGATTTGAAAGAAGTAAATAACTACTCTATAGTTTTGGCCATTTCACGTTATCAGTAATTGGTATATATCCCATTCATTCTATCACATAGCTCACCGCTTGAAAGGTTTTAAGTAGAAATTTCACACATTTCCAACACAAGTCTCTCAACATTCCATTACTAATCGATATCTTCCTCTCTTTCAATAATTCTGAAACCCCTCTCACTCTGACTCTCCTCCTCACTACATCACCACGCCCCAACCACCCCTCCCACAATCCAAATCCCCACCCCACCAGCCGCGATGCTGCTCCTCCCCACACCCCCCGTCGGCACGGGCTTCACAGGCGCCACCGCACTCGAACTCGCAGCCACGCTCCCATTCCCCGCCACGCCCCCCGTAACCTCCGGCGGCGCCCCCGCCATCGCTACCCCTTTCGCCGCCATGGCATATTGGGCCAGTGTCGAGTTCGGGGCTTTGACCGGCGGGTTAATGACACTGGTATGCGAGGTTAGCGGGTTGTTTGTTTTTCGAGGAAGGCGAGAAGAATATGTTGGGTAGTGGGGGGGGGAGGGGGGATAAACATACCCAACCATTCCATATTGACAGTGTTTATGCGCAGAGCAGTAATACCAGATGGGGTCTGTGGTCGTGACCGTTACTGAGAAAGTGTCGTTCTGGAGATTGGGCACTCGATCAGCACCTCCGATTCCCAACCTTCCAAATCATACCTACCATCACGCAACCAAAGCAAGCCAAAATAAAACCAGATCAAAAGAAAAAAGTAACAGTAAATTTAGGGGGGGGAAAAAGGAGAAACGGGAAGAACCATACACCCTCCAGATATCCCGAGAAAAACCCGCCTGACCCAGGCAAACACGGCGTCCCAAACGGTCCCGACACGACGGAGTGCGGCGCGGACCCATTGAAGAACCGGAACTCGAGGATGTCGCCCACGGACGCGGAAGTACTGTTCGGTGAGAAAGAGAGGGCGCCGTGGAGACCGACGGCGATGGGGATGGTGGTGGGCGTGAGGTTTGTGGTTGGGGCTTGGGTGCAGAGGATTGGGGAGAGGAGTGTGAATATGAATGTGAGTGTGAGTGTGAATCGGAGGAACGAGGGATACATTGTGGTGAGGTAATTGTTCAGGGAGGGTGAGGATATGGGAGGATAGGGACGAGGATGGGGATGGGGATGAGATGAGGAGATGATGGGTTTATTTATTGGAAACATAAATGGAAAAACAAAGAATGGAAGTCAAACGCTTCCTCTTAGAACCCACCGTTCTGGGGATATGTCGTAGCACGGTCTATGCAATAAATGCGGCCTCCCTCCCGTCCGCCCCTTATTACCGGATCGCCCCCAGTGGCCCCCCTTGTACATAAAGAAATGTACATGAATTACCAAAACACACCTCTTCTCCCGAACATCCCGCCTTCCCACTGCTGTTGGGAGCACGGATTTAAGATATTTGTGTGCCTCATACCACAAGGTACAAGCTTGAAGCTTATGTTACAGGTGCACATGTACTACTGTAGTGAGAGCGGGATGCCGGAGTAGTGGATGGATGAAATTCAGTGCTGGGGATGAGTTCGACGGGAGATGGTGTAGGGGATTAGAGACGGGAGTGACCTTACTTGAAAGTTTTGAGGAATGGCCAAAAAGGGAGGGAGGGAGAATGCAATTCATTGGAGACAGTGGGAAGATGTGAATGGAAACGTGGTGAGAGGAAATGTTGGAGTCGGGAGACGTATTGAACAGTAAGGACTTAGGCTTGATCTTCAGGGGTTTCAAAGGCAGATGCACAACCACCACTTGAAGTGGCCGTGAACATGTCATACGAAGAATGAGCTATCGGCAAAATGCTTTCCTTGTTCACCATAGCCAACTACCTCAACATATTGCAGTATCTTCCTCTTACACAAATTCAAATGAATCATTTGTGTGCTGCACGATATCAGTTATCCAGTCATAATCTGACGTCTCGAAACTACTTACGAATGCCCTCCTCAGGAACAGGCTTGACATCCTCCACCTCCGCCGCCAACTTCTCCTTTGGCTTGGTCGAATCATCCTTCATGAAGGGGAAGGCCAGGACCTCCTTGATGCTATAATTATCCGTCAAGAACATCACCAACCGATCGATTCCCATTCCCCAGCCTCCAGTGGGTGGCAGACCAAACTCCAGACTTTGACAGAAGTTCTCATCAATCATCTGAGCCTCGTCATCACCCTGATCCTTCTGCCGGGCTTGCTCTTCGAATCTAAGTCTCTGGTCGAACGGATCGTTCAACTCGGTATACGCGTTCACAATCTCCTTCTTGCAGACGAAAGCCTCGAAACGTTCACAGAGACCGGGGTTGGAGCGGTGGTACTTGGCGAGAGGGCTCATCATTTGCGGGTGTCCCGTAATGAAAGTCGGGTTCACGCAGGTCTCTTCGATAAATTCGCCCACCAGCTTGTCGAGCATGCGCGCGTTGGTAAGAGGCGGTGCGCATTCGAGGTTCATCTTCTTGAGCACACGCTTGAAGAACTCGTTGCTCTCAGCTGTGTGTAGTTGATCTCCCGGTGGGAACTTCTCGCCGGTGGCTTCTTCGAGCGCGGGGATCATTTCGACTCGTCGCCAGGGGGCGGCCCAGTTTACTTCGTATTCCTCACCGTGTTGAGTGTGGAACTTGGTCACGGTACTGCCAGTGACATGCTTCACGAGCCCTGAAACGAGTTCCTCGGTCATGTCCATGATATCGTAGACATCTGCGTAAGCCATGTAGAATTCACAGGTTGTGAACTCCGGGTTGTGCGTCAAATCAATACCTTCATTTCGGAATTGACGTCCCATTTCATAAACACGGTTCAGACCTCCTACGACCAACATCTTGAGGTACAGTTCGGGAGCCACACGCATGAACATATCCATATTGAGATCGTTGTGGTGAGTGATGAAAGGCTTTGCGGTTGCTCCTCCAGCAATAGGGTTCATCATAGGAGTCTCTACTTCGACGAAATCCTTCTCATCGAAATACTTGCGGATGTAGCTGATCATCTTGGATCGAGTGACGAAGACATTGCGCGTGGGCTCGTTCATGATCAGGTCCAAATATCTCTTGCGATGTCTCTGTTCCTGGTCCTTGAAGCCATAGTACTCGTCCGGAAGTTGATGCAAACAAGGCGTGAGAAGGATAATCTCCGTCGCAAAGATAGACAGTTCTCCTTGCTCGCCCTTCTCGATCTTGGACTTGGGCGCAGTTCGTCCGGGGTAACCAACTATGCCAATGATGTCGCCTCGTCGCAGGTGCTCATGCTGTTGCTCGAACGGCACACCCCCCTCCTTGGCTTCCTGAAGCTGGCACATAACTTGTACCTTAACCCCCTCGGTTCTAATGTCATAGAAGACTAACTTGTTTCCTGACGCACGCTTGTTGTAGATTCTACCTCCAACTCGAATCTCGACATCCTTGCGCGACTCGCCCGACTTGAGAGAGTCATAGTCCTTGACGAAGTTCCGGAGGTCATAGTTGACATGGAACTTGTGCGGGTATGGGTTGGGGTTCTTGGTCTGTCGCAGCTTGTTGATGGTACGGGATCGAATCTCGAAATATTGCTGTGCCCCTCAGTTAGCCTAGTTCTCCCATTAAACCTGGCTGGGTGAGGAGTGGCAGCAGTACATTTGGATTCAACTCCTTCTCATCAGCTTCGGCATTGCTCTTCTTCACTGCGATAGGCTTCGGTGGTGCAGCAGCCGCCTTCTTCTGCTTCTCTTCCTCCTTTTGACGTGCCTTCTGGCGCTTCTTCAATTCGGACTTGGAAACCTGTTCACCAGTAACTTCGTCGAGATATGTCTTGGCTGCCTCTCCGGGCGCGGCTGATCCTGCTTCGTCCGCCATGATTGTTTCTTCGTGGGCTGTTGGTTGCAAGAGAGAGCGCTTTGGTGGGGTGAGTAACAATTTTTGTAAATATTTCGGATGGTGGGGTTATGTCACGTGTGGGGCATCTAATCGTTTGTTCCATATCAACAGTCCAGCCAATTGTATGGCACTTGAGACACTTTATGATTAAGTTCATTTTACGCACAATTTGGTTGAGGAATCTAAGGTAGACTCACAATATAGGAAATGACAATGACGAGTAGGTAAGTATGGTGTAGATGGTATGTCTATATAGTACAATGTACAGAGTTGAGATTCATTCAAGGTATGTACGGAGTAGACTTGACCAAACTCCTTGTCCTGGTATGTCCCAACGCTATCTGAGATATCAGAATTTCCCCACTAATTCAGAAATTATACATCACTCCTTCCCGTTTTTACATTCCACGCCGCTCTCCATGAAGATGCAGGGTATTTCCCTTCAACATGTTCAAGTCCGCTTTATGGCAGCATTTCTCAGAGTTGCTGTGTGCGCCGAGACTGGTGCAGCTGCTGCTCGCTTCAGCTTGTTCTGCACCAGCTTGAGAGTCCTTTTCGGAACCCACACCCTATTTCCAAGCGTCAAGACACCTGTCAACAGCGCCAAACTCCCAGCTTGATGTGCTGCGGCCAGAGGGATTGGAACAAGGTAAATGAGGGTGCTGATCCCCAAAAGAGCCTGTAAGCACACCAAGTGCACCACACCCGTCATGCCTCGACTGCCTGCACGCGGCAGCGCCGCTTTAATCTTTGGATTAAACCGAGAATAAGCCCACAGAGCTAAGATAGCCGTGAATGTTGTTGTAGCCAAGATACGATGATCAAGCTGTACTGTTGACGGGTTCTCGAGCATATTTCTCCACCAGATATCGGACCCATCTTCTTTCCTTGAATAGAACTTGGAGAAAAGTTCTGATTTTGGCGGGATAAAGCCGTCGCCCATACGAGGAAACTGGTTGTAGATTAATCCGGCATCAAGTCCAGCAACTAGGCCACCAGACATAGCTGTCGTGAAAACGAGGAGAGCGAGACCAGCAACTGATTTCCTGAATACAGAGAGGGTAGGTGAGGAGAGACGGAGAAGATGCTCTTGACCTTTTGTGGGGTTAGAAAGAAGCTTGATGTCCCGAAGAATGGAGAGTCCGTTCCAGAGCATAGCTGTGTAGCATATGAATGCTGCGCCGAGATGGGCTGTCAGTCGGTATTGGCTGACTCTAGGATGTGATCCAGGCGCAAAGAGATCATCTTTCAGCCCTGATTTCACCATCCACCATCCTATAGCTCCTTGGAAACCGATCAATCCTGAAATTCCTAGCAATCGCCAAGCCATATTGACTGACACCTTTCGTCGTGCAACGAAGTAGACCGCTGGTATAACGAAAGAAAGCCCCACGAAACGCCCCCATAGTCGATGACCCCATTCCATATAGTAGATCTTTTTGAACTCGTCAATGTTCATATGTGGATTTAAAAGTTTGAATTCAGGAGAGGCTCTGTATTTATCGAATTCAGATTGCCAATCTGCATTAGAGAGCGGAGGAAGAGAGCCTGTGACGGGCTTCCATTCTGTAATACTCAATCTGCACAGGTTTAGCATTTACTCCCAACATAGCGCACTCAGACGTACCCAGATTCTGTTAACCTCGTTAGGCCCCCAAATACCACGATTCCAAAGACACTGGCTGCGCTTCCTAATAGCCAGTACGCTACTGACTTTGAGCTCGTGTTTGGGAAGCTGCTCTTGTCACCGGCAGATGGAGTCTTTGTTCCATTGCTCGCTATCGTTTGACTGAGAGAGGTTAACGGAGAGGGCTTCTTAGCTGGGATCTCAGAACCCGCGACAGCGCTGTTGAATCGTACGTTTCGCAAGAACGCCGATTTCCCACGCAGCTTGGCAAAGCGTGTTGCTGGACGCGCCTGACTTATGCATTGACGGCATATGAAGAAATCCTGCCCCAGCCGTGGGGCTGCCCGACGGAATCCTGGGAAGACCGAAGCCATTGAGAGAGCTGCAGTGATGTCGACCGGATTGGAGCAGGCAAAGGCTTCAAAAGATGCCTATTAGAGCTGGGCTTTATGTCAGCAACCAGGGCAGGTGCTCGGAGCTGGAAAAATAAAACGCCGATAGGGGCATTTTGGCACAGCCGCATTGTCTTGGAACACCAAGTCAATAGGGGGGTAAGAATACTAATAGCCTCACTCCGCCGCCTGGAGTCTGACAGGAAATGATATCCCTTTAAGACATAACAAGTCTTGTCTCCATCTCAGACCATATGTTCTCTGCCAAGAACACCGACACTCCCAATCCCTTTCGTCCAGCTCTCCAATACCTCCTTTCAGCCAGGGGGGACATCTCTCAATCACCTCGTTCACGATCAAGTCACCGCCCAACCAGCTCCTCAGGAAGTCTGGACTCTGAGGACGAAACTCCTCGCTCAAGGATGTCCTCCTATAATCCCAAATCCTCCACGGAATTCCGAACTTCTGCAATTCCACTAGTCAATATTTCACGAACCCCATCCCCTTCCCACGCACGACAAAGTCCCAATACCAACGCCGCATCCGAAACCGAAGATGATGACGATTGGGGGGACCAATATGCTCTGAATGAGCCCTTTCTGTTACAACAGGGCAGAAAACTCACGGGCTGGAGGAGACTACTACGAGGCGGCGGGTTCGGCCAGTGGCTCTTCACGACTCATCTAGGATGGCAGTTCTATATAGCCGTTCTGGTCCTCTGGCTAGGAGGCTGCGAGATAGGCCTTACTATTATGAACAGGATTATTCTCTGGAGTGGGTACCTTAAGGAAAATTACACGGAACATACAAAGCTGATAGAGTTGATAGCGGGGGTTTACAAGTTTCCATATCCATTGACGACCACTCTCTTCGAACTACTTATTACCCATTTCTTTGTCGTCCTATCAGCATATATTACTAGGTGGACCAGTCCTTGGTTGACCAGCGCGGGTGTCGCGGGGATGATTGCTCCCTCGCGCCCCTTGCAATCTCCATCATCACCAGGACCTCGAAGGAATCTAGGTGTCCTGGGCTCCATAAAGAGGTGGGCATCAGACCGATCGGGCGGTATTGCAGGTGGAGGATTCTTCGAATTTGAGTGGCCAGTCGCAAAGCAAGTCCTACCTGTTGCGGTAATCTTTGTGGCCAAGATCACCCTGAGCAACTTATCCTTCGCATACGCCCAACTCCCAATCTATGTCCTTGCGCGGATTGGTATCGTACCAATCTCCTTAATCCTCACGGCTCTCCTGTCACAACAACAGCACTCTGTCTCCACAATCTCCTCGGCCTTAACCGCAACTCTTACTCTCCTTGTGGCTATCTCTCGCTCTAATATCCGCGTAACATGGGAATCCATCGTCGCCGGCGTATTCTCCTCCTTCTTCGTTGCCCTCTATCCTGTGCAGCTGCAAAGAACCTACAAATCACTTCTCGCCTCTCTCGTTCCACAAGGCGATCTCCTAACCACATTCCCATCAACCAACCCAGGCCTACCAGCCGACCACTCTGGCTCCCGCGAAGAATCGCGAGCCTACTGGCGCTTACTACACTACCTATCCATCCTCTCCATCCTCATCTTCCTGCCCCTCCCCTTCCTATCTGGCGAATTGTCAAACATTTCTCGAAACTGTTATTTCCTCGACGTCTTCTTCCACTGGTTGATGGTTTTATGTGGCGGTCTGGGCAGTTGGGCAGTGTTCTTCTCGACCATCGCCCTCACGAGAGCGACGAGCCCGCTCACCACAACCTTTCTGTTCATCCCCAGAGCGGCGTTCCTCCTGCCAATCATGGCAAAATTCAAAATGCCGGCGTACAGCTGGATTGGCATCGGCATGTGTTGGGCGAGCTGTGCTTGGTTTGTGAAGAGCAGAAGGAAGGAAGCGAGAATATTGGGGATTTGATTTGAAGCGACTTGACTTTCTTGACCGCATTTTTGAGCCGTTTTCCTTGTTATTGAAAAGCCTCTTTGAGGTCAGCCTGCTATTTGGCCATGGCTGAGAACATTCTGTATAAGAGGGACTGGAAGTTTGGGTAGATATAGATCGAAGTTCCTACCTAGCGTACTGTAGGGCTTTTTGATGATCTAGGGATACTTATCTTATTATAGATGTGTATTACTAGTCAATAGAAGAAAGGACCTACTATAATAGTAAGGGACTGTCAAATCCAAGGACTATCCCTCGCTAACTTAGAACTCGCCTCTAAGGCGGGCGATCAAGTCCATTAATGCATCCGGTCTATGGTATAACGTTAAGGAGGGCTGCTATACTGAGGAGCGAGCTCCGGGACTTGGGCCTTGTGAGCAGCAAGGCGTGCATTCAATCCACTCCATTAAGGGGCCTTTACCGAAAGAATTTCCAGGTTAATGGCGTTTGCGAGAGGAAGGCAATATTAATGCGTAGGACCATGGGAGTTGGGGGAGGTGCATCTATGTTCCTGATCAAAGCAGAGGAGGATTATAGGGTTGTACTAAATCAACTTGACATTTGGTTATTGTAATTGTAACTTGTAAGTACCTGTTCGGAGATGGACAGAGGAGGGGTTGTAGAGGTAGCGCTAGTAGCAATCTCCATTTTCGGGCGGACTACTTCGTGGCCAGATCAGATTTCTGGAGTGCACTTATCAACATCGCTTACAGAGATACGTACCTGACGTGTCTACCTCCTACCTCCTTAGCTAATAAGTACTTGTGTAGGATCTTTATAGAAGTAGGTAGGTAAGTTACGCTCTTCCTTATTATTAGGGTCGCTTTTACTTCTTCTTTTAAACGGGCCAGAACCCATGTAACGGAGATATGACACGTGACCGGAAGAACGTTGAGGTAGGTATTGCGGTTTCCTCTCTTTCCGGTATTTTGGTCTTCTTGTAGAGGACGTTATCTTATCTTGCTTGACTATTGTATTTGACAGTACAATATAGGCTGATCTAAACAACCACTAACTCAACGGCATTGTTTCTCCTCTTGTTACCACATTGCCATTACCAATGTCCAACGACTCGATAAGTATCTATCGTCTCCACAGCCTTGACAAGGATCGTCGTCCATCGTAATTAGTTTCACGTGACGGACGACCTTCCTGTTCAGTCAAACGTGGAGTCTAGCTTCATGTCTCAGCACCAGGACTGCCAGTCGTTGCTCGAGGCTCGACTTGCGCTGAACGCTATGGTGCGACTACGACAAGAGCAAGAGAACTCCGAGGCTCAAGCTCTCCCCGCGATCTGCATAGTTGCATGCTTCCCCGGTGGTCCCTATAGGTATGGCGTCGAGCTGACGTCGCGGCGACCCCAAGCTCAAGGTCTCTATAGAGATACTCTCTGACTCTCTTTACTCTCTCTCTCTCTCTCTCTCATCATCTCTCAACTTCTCTGCCATCTCTAATTTCTTTTCCTTCACGATCCTGTTGAGAAGTGGCAGGATGCCGCCACACGTCGCCGATGACGAGCAGCTCGCCTCCTTCGGGCACAAGGCCGAGCTGCAGCGGAACTTCTCCCCGCTCGCCATGCTCGGCCTCGCTTTCGCCATCCTGAACTCATGGACTGCGCTCTCTGCTTCTCTCTCCCTCGCCCTCCCAAGTGGTGGTCCTACTTCCGTGATATGGGGTCTTGTCAGTGCTGGCATCTGCAACCTCTGTCTGGCGGCTTCCCTCGCCGAGTTCCTCTCCGCCTATCCGACAGCCGGCGGCCAGTACCACTGGGTCGCAGCTATTGCCTGGAAGCGGTGGGTACCGATCCTGTCCTGGATCACGGGCTGGATTAATGTTGGGGGCTGGATCGCGCTCGTTGCGTCGGGAGGTCTGCTGGGAAGCCAGCTGATCGTTGGGGTAATTACGTTCATGCAGCCCGAGTATGAGGCGCGTGCTTGGCACCAGTTTCTCATCTACATTGGATACAATCTTGTTGCTTTTCTAATCAACGCTTTCATGACGATGACCCTCCCTATCATCACGAAAGCCGCGTTTTTGTGGTCCATCGCCGGCTTTGTCGTCATCTCAATCACGGTCCTGGCGTGTGCATCGCCGAACTACTCATCTGGAGATTTTGTGTTTAGGGAATTTATAAATGAGACTGGATGGCCTGATGGCATTGCCTGGCTGCTTGGTCTTCTGCAGGCGGGGCTGGGCTTGACGGGCTTCGATGCTGTTGCGCACATGGTTGAAGAGATCCCTAACGCATCCGTCGAAGGCCCCAAGATCATGATAGCATGCGTTGGTATTGGAATCTTTACAGGCTTTATCTTCCTTACTGTCTTGCTCTTCGTTGCCGGGAATGTCAATGACGTTATCACTTCCTCCGCTGGGCCATTGCTGCAGATATTTTACAATGCCACGCAAAACCGTGCTGGTTCTATCTGCCTATTAGTGTGCGTCGTTTCTCTTTTCATTAATAATAAAACTAACAGATTCTAGATTCCCTCTCGTGTGCTTACTCTTCGCCACCATCAGTATCATGACGACCTCCAGCCGCATGGCGTGGGCCTTCGCCAGGTGCGTAATATTAACCAGACATAACTTTCCTGGGCGTTAGAAGGTATCGCAAAATCAAGAGCTAACAACACTTGACACAGAGACGGCGGTCTTCCCTTCTCCAAAATCTTCGCCACCGTTCACCCCAAATTGGGACTACCCCTGAATGCGCTCATCCTGACCGTTCTCCTCGACGTGATCTTCGGCTGTATCTTCCTTGGCTCCAGTAGCGCCTTCAACGCCATCATCTCTGCCTCTGTCGTCGCCCTCGGTATCTCCTACGCCATCCCTATCGCCGTGAACTGTCTACGCGGGCGTACCATGCTCGGCGAGCGCCCCTTCGTGCTCTCCCCAGTCTTAGGCTGGACCGCTAACATCGTACGTCCCCTCCTCTCCTCTGCTTTCCCTAAACTCACCCACCTCTTCGCCTGCAGATCGGCATAATCTACGTCCTCGTAACAACCGTGCTCTTCGTCTTCCCGCCCACGCTCCCTGTCACGGGCTCCAACATGAACTACTGCATCGTAGCCTTCGCCATCGTCATCATCATCGCTACCATCCAGTGGTTCGTCGATGGGAAGAAGAACTTCCACGGCCCGCATATCGACCTGGTGGTGCTGACGGAGGACGAGGCTCTGCATGTCGATCCTACTCTCCGCGGGTCGGAGGAGGATGGGAAGAAATCGGCGACTTGAGATAATGAACATGAAAATTCAGGCGTTGTGATCCAGAGAAATGAAATGAAATGAAATGAAGTATGCTTATCAAGATGTACACCGTAAAATTTGGCTGTGCCTATAAAAACATCTCGTCGTTTGAAAGAGAACTCGGGGGGTACATAAATGGCATACATGTTTCATCCTCCAACACCGCCCTATCAACAAAACTTATTAAAAGAAAAAAAAATTAATAACCCTCCTTTATCTCTTAACGCCCACGCCGCGCATCCTGTTTTACCTTGCAACTCGCTATATCGCCAGCAATACTCCCATCTCACGTGGTTGCTATATCATCATGATCTTTTCGGTTGCCTATTCCTCATAGGATTTTTTCACACAGCAAATTCTGGTTTCCGGCCATATACGACGACCCTGCAAATTCATTAGCACTGTCCATTAGAGCTGTCTCATAAACTTACACATCAAGATAGCCATGGATCTTCTTATCCTTGAGTGCTGCTTTGACCTGGCCACTGAGTGCCTGCACCTCTGTGTAAGACCACTGCAGCACCATCAGATTAGCCAGAGGTTCACCATGTCCGGCACGTTATACATACTCCGCCGATATTTGTCAGCAACCGTAGCGCAAATCCTTCGATCCCTTGATGTACCCTTAATGCGTTCCATCTTCCTATATCTTTCATTTTCGGATCGGAGGACCACCCGTTCATCGGCCATTTCATCCTTTTCTCTACCACGTCGACGAAACCCTGCCGCTCCATGCACTCTTTGACCTGGCTCCAGATGTCGAATTCCTTGCCTCGCTTCCTCCCCATCTCGTTCATCACAGCCCCGTACCGTGTATATACGTGGTCCGGGCCAACTGTGCCGTCGTCACTAACCGGAGTGACCGAGTGTTCGGCAGCCTCTAGCCAGCCGCCAGGTTTCAGTGCTTGATACGCTTGTCTATAAAGCTCATCCCAATCTTCGACCGACCCGAACATCTCACGGATATGTACCAGGTCGAAGGAGGCGGGGGGGAAGGTCCACGGGAGGAGAGCATCGTCGACCTCAAATATGCAGTTTGGCGGTACCCATTCTGGTTGGATTGGCGAGAGGTCAGTCCCAATGACTTTGGCAGAAGGAAATGCATCGGCCATATCTCTGTAGCAGGATTAAGTGTTAGAAAAAGGGGCGACCACGGATATAGGGGACGAGTCACATACATGGCCCATATTCCCGTTCCCGTTCCTATATCGAGGATATTCTATTGCAAACATCCGATGGTCAGGAACAGCGACAAAATTCAAGCTCGGTAGAGCAGGCTTCTTGCTCACATGTGGATCAGTTATCGGGGCTAAGTACAGCTTATTGTCCAAGGTTAGGAGCCACAGATGATGTGCGATATCCTGTTGATCGTTGTGAAGCTCGTCGTTCGGGGCCCAGTATGCGCCATCTCGATATGCGTGGTAGCGACGCCCATTCTCGTAGCGATACTGGGTGATAATGGACTTGATTGAGGTCGTGTCGCTGCCATCGATCGAATCGCCATAAGCGGAATCATTGTCATCGAAGTCGGACTCTGGATCTGAGGCGCTCGACGGGGTGCTAGCAGTACTGTCTTGCGGGATGGGACCTGCGGGACCAGCCGCTGCGTGTTCAGGTTTATTAGTATGGTCCATGGCTGGCGGTAAAAAGGAGCTGCTCGACGTTCAACGGCAAAGCGCGATCAGATAACAATTAGGTAGGTCGCTTAAGTGCGGATGAAGCACGTGTCTAAGCGAGGTAAGCGAGCAGATCATAATTGATTACCTAAGGCAATACTGTAGACAATAAACCAGAGCGAAAGGGGCAAGGGATTCCGGGAGAACGTATTTACGGGCCGGCCCACATGTGCTATTCTCATTCGGGATAATATTCCGCCTGGGTGGCCGTAGTAATTCTGCAACGGCTGTACAGGGTAGTCGGCCCCTGTCTAGTGCCACGGAGCAGCATGATAAACCCTAAACTTTCCCTCTTCGAGGCGCGGTTCTCCCACCAGTGACCTTCTCTTACATACACCGAGGTACCCATGTACGGGCTGATGTATGAACCGTATGATATATCATATTCATATCACATAAGGTATGGTGGTGGTAGGTAAAGAGGTGAGTTCCCTCCTCCTCGAGGTCATCTTCTTGTCTTCTTGTTTGTCCTGTCCTGTCTCCTTTCTCCTGTCGTGGATACAGCAAAATGGGCGACTACGTCGATAATGACCAACCTGCGGCCGTAGCAGCACCGCTTCCCGTGTTGATCATTGGCGCCGGTGAGTGATAATCGTCTTATCTCTACTCTCCGTTCTACCCCGCAGCAGCAGCAGCCGACGAAGAATACAGGATGCACCGGTCTGAGCCTGGCCCAAGGCCTCAAGAAGGTTTGCTCCTACACCCCGCCAGAGAGCGCCCATGATCTTGGCTAACGATCCAAAATGCGGGCGTCAGATTCATTATCTTTGAGAGAGAGCCGGCCAACATCCAGCGCGCGCGGGATTGGAACATGGGAGTGCATTGGGGAATTCCACTCCTCAAAAACCTGATCCCACCGGACGCCTTTGCAAAGCTCGACGCAGCTCAGGTTGATCCTAACAGGCCTTGCCCCCCATCCGACACCATCCGCTTCTTGGACGGACAGACCGGAAAGCAAATCGGTGCATCGACGACTCCACATATATACAGACTCCGGCGGAGCAAGCTACGCGCTTTGCTTCTAGAGGGTATCGATGTCCAATACGACAAGACTCTCACGGATATCTCGTACTCGGAGGACGGTACAACCGTAACGGCACACTTTGCGGATGGTTCCAGCACAAGCGGCTCCCTCCTCGTGGGCGCGGATGGTGCTCGATCGCTCACACGCAATCTCTTGGTGGGACCCGAGAAGGCGGCTTTGACGACGATCGAATTCGCAGCCTCTATCGTACAATCCAAATACACCGCAGAGCAGGTCAAGTTCCTTCGCTCCTGGCATCCTCTCTTTGTTGCAGCGCCAAATCCAGCAGGCCTCTTCAGTTGGGTAGGGCTGCATTCAGCACCTGACGCTGACGATCCCGAGAACTGGATCATGAACCATTATATCTCATGGCCATGCTCTCACGAAGAGCAGGAGAAGACCAAGGACTGGACGAATGAGCAAAGGCTGAAACAGTTGAAAGAGTTCGGCGAGAAATTCGCTGATCCATTTCGAAGTGCATTTGCGTGGTTGAAGGACGACCAGCCTGTCTGGTATTCTCCCATGACTCAGTGGGATCCAAGTCTACCCGAACATCAGTGGGATAACCACGGTGGTCGAGTCACGCTGGCAGGTGATGCAGCGCATCCTATGACCTTCCGTACGCAGCCTCCTCCAGATCCCTGAAGCAGAAAAGGGCCCGAGCTGACCCACATCGCAGAGCGCGGACAAGGCTTAAACTCCTCGATCAAAGACGCCTCGGAGCTGGTGGCTCGAATTGCAGAGTTCCACGGCTTCTCAAACAAGACACGACTCGAGGCAATCGAGGCCTACGAAGCGGAAATGAAGGATCGAGCCGGGAAAGAGGTGAGGCTGTCGGCTGATAATACGCGAATGGTACATATCTGGGAGGAAGTCAAGCAGAGCCCTCTCTTCTCCAAGGGCTTCTCGCAACAATCCTGATTAATTTCTAGACTTATATTTGCGTTTGTGTTTGTGTTGCGTCTGATGAGAAGGGGTTTTGGATATATCTGCTAGAGTAGAACCGATTTTCCAGTCATATATACGGATACGACTTCTTAATTCCAACAATACATCTATCTATCTATCTATCTATCTCTCTGGTACCGCAATATCAGTTTTTTTTTCAGAGGGATCCTCCCCGCTATCCCCACAAGCCCTACCTACCTAACCTACCTCCGCTACCTAACCTCCCTTCCCTATCATCTTTTCAAAGCTCATAGAGCCATTCATTCATCCATTAATCCAATATTCTATTCCCACTACAATCGATCCTCTCTCTCACGTATTCCTCCCCTATAAACAAATAAATTAAAATAAATAACTTATCATCCCACCATCCCAGGATTATTCTCAGCTTTACTTTCCATGCTGAATATCTAGTTTGTTTATACGGATGGATGGATGGATGTATGCATGCATATAATTTTAAGAGTCTAGTTATTTGCGTGTACTGTAGGTGCCTAAGGTAAGGTAAGGACCGTAAGGTAAGGTTAGGGTAAAGGGGTAATCGGTAAGGCCCCAATCACGAGGATTCGGGATGTACAGGTACGTACCAGGTACCTTAACTGAGAGATGGAAGGTCCGTTGGTTACACAGGCGGGAGGTATCCCGCTTAAGGATGAGACGTACCTACCTTACCGGAGCGGTATGGTCTGTTTTAACGGTGTGGTCACCGTGTAGCATGTTTAAACGTGTAACGAGCGTGTAGCGAGCATATATCTATAAACAAGGGGTGTGTTAGATGTAAAGCTTAGATGATTAATAGAATTACCCTAGATTCGCCTCTCGTGTTACGTATTCGGCTCTCGAGTACAGGCGTTCCTTCCTCTATAGAACAGCCTTCCCTTTTTACTCTCCTTAAAAAATTTTAAGGCTCTTTTTCCCTCTCGGTAGCTCTCTTATTCTGTCAAATAGAAAGAATTAGGGGATCGAATAAAGGGGCGAATTAAGTAGATTCAAGTGTTAGGTTTGAGTAGATTAAATTAAATTAAACTAACTACTTAATAGAGAACGTAAAGAGAGTTATATACAGGTAAAGGTAGTAAAAACAGTATACTAAATATAGTATATATAGTAATACCTAGAACGCTATATAAGGTATAAGGTATATAGTAATAAGTATGTAGTAATCTATGTACTAGATATAAGGTATAAAGTAACAGACAAAATCTGACTTCTAATAACGTGATTACCTAATTAGGTAATAGACGTAACATTCCTAGTTTCTAACATACCTCCCTAAGTAGTTAGGATTTTGTTCTTAATTAGAAAATAGTAAAGCTATTTACGTATTCCTAGTAGGCTTTCTTTTACGCTCTAATACTATATTATTATTTAACATTAAAACGTAAGGTAAAACGTTAAAAACAGTATATATAAAAGTATATAAAAAGCATGTAACTAGCGTAATCAGTTAACATCTGTTTTTTATTAGTCTATTAAGTACGTCTTTACTCTTAAGTTACTTATCGTTAAAAGCTCTAGGCTCTATTTAGTAGTTTAATTAGTCTGTTTTATTTAGTAACGAATATTAACTAATTTAAGCTGTTTAACAAACTCCTAGTGTTTCTAACGTAGTAAGGCCTTTGTAAGTCTATTAGCCGGTATATAATTAGTTAAAATCTACTCTAATTAGACACGCTAGGCGGCTACCTCTTACCTTAGCTAGTACTAGTAGATATTAACGTACTTTAGCTTAGTAACTAATCTTAGTGTTCTTAGCTCTATTAGGCGTATAGTTTACAGGTTATCTACTTGTATAGAGTACTTAAACCCTTAATTAAACTCTAGAGTAAGGTTTATAAAGACCCTCCTCTACTAATAGAGCTCTTTTATAGCGTAGGTTAATAAGAGTAATTTAGCCTCTATACTTAAAGTAGTAACGGTCTTTTGCTTTGTTAATTTCTAGTCTATTAGCCTACTAAATAAGTAGAACACGTAACCTTTAGTACTTCTTCTAGTAAGTAGATTATCTATAAAAGTAGTGTCGCTAGCGTAGGTAAACGCTTGCCCTAGATCCGTTATATCCTTATATTTAATAGCTATATACTTTGTTATATATAGATACTATATTACTTTATTTATAGCTTACTAGTAATTAGGTAACAGATTAATAAGAAACTTAGAGAGCTTAGTAGCGGCTCTTATAGTGTCTAGCTAGGTAACGATAGTAGCGTATAGTATTAAGCTAACCTTTTACTAATAGCTATAGACCTCTTGTTCTGTTACTTTACTACTATTTAGTACTAATTCGTTAGTTACTATAGGTATATTTAAGGCCCTCTCTTTATTTAGGTAGAACTTCTTTACTATAGAGTTAATATACAAGTCCTAGCTTAACTATACCTAGCGTACCGTTTAATCTCTTATAACCTATATTCCTAGGAACTAATTAAGCTCCCTTAGATCCCTTATTTCGTACTTATTAAATAGCTTTGTTTTAAAAGAAAGGTATTTGTTATAGTTAGATAGGTATAACAAAATAGCTATATTGTTTATATAAAAGAACACGATTAGCTTATTATTTATATATAAACAGTTAGCCTTAGGTATAGGATACAGCCCTAGTTCTTTAAGGGCACTAGTAAATTCGCTATACTAAAGTAGTAAGGATCTACGTAGCCTGTATAAGGCACGTAACAACAACAGGTAGTAATCTAGCTTACTAAAGCCCTTTAAGTAGTAAATATAGACTTTACTATCTATATTACTATTTGTAAACGCGTTAACCGCGTCTAACTAGTAGATATTAAGATTAAATTAAGCGGCTATAGCTATTAGGGCCTTAAACACCTGTAACACTAACGTAATAGCGTAATTATCCTGTCTATTAAGACGTTACAAATTACCTCTTACTACTAGTCTAGCCTTAAATTTAGCTAGAAAGCCGTTAGTATTAAACTTATATGTAAATACCTACTAAATAAGGATTATATATTACTTAACTTAAGAATAGTAGACGTGTTTAAAGGTACTATAGTGTTTAAGATCTAAATACTTCTTCTAAGTAGCAATCTTAAATTCGGTACTATAAGAGTGATTTTAAAGCTCTCTCTAGTGTTTAGGTAAAGCTAGTAGATTAGTTTAATAGATCCTTTGTTTTTTATGTTTAGTTCTTAATTAAAAGGCTGTATAGAACCTGTTAAATTCGTTAATCCCTTTTTATTAAATAGTATAGGCTTTGTGCCTTTAGTATCTAATCCTAGGTCTAGAGATAATATTACTTATCTAAATACCTTTAGTTCTAAGGCCTTTAAGGCCCTTTCTTTGTTACCTTTTATGTTAAATTGTAACGTTATTAGATAGTAAGATTAGTTTGTCTAATAGTAGCGCGTCTTTTATTTCTATATCCTTATTATATACTAGTTTAAAAGGGTCGTATAGTTCGTAAGCTATAAGAAGCTCTAATTTGTTGTTTTTGTTGTTTTTAACTAGTAGGTCTACTAGTTTAGTAAGTTAATTAATAAATATTACATTAATGTTATTATAAAAGATTAAAAAAACTTTAAAACAGTCGTCTACGCCTCTTACTACCCTAAAAACTTAAAAACAAACAATAGAATTAAAATTAGTACCTTTAGATACCTTCTAGAGTACTAGTAGACTATAGGCAAGCCTATAGTAACAGATAGTAAGTATACTAGACTTAAACAAAGCTAATACTACCTACTTACAAGTAAGAGCTAGTACTCTTATACTTTAACTAAGAGCTATAGTAAAGAGCTAAAGAGTAGTAAGGGTAGTAAAGACAATAAGACAGAGAAAATTATATAAAGAATTAAAGCTTATATAATACTAAGTAAGAAGGAAGAAGCGTTACGTCTCTTATATAACCTTATTACTATAATAATAATAGTAGTAAAGACAAGAGCTATAAACATAACGACTCTCTTATATACCTTTAAGTCCCTTTCTAATAACGACCTAGTAACGATTAGACAATTAAGAACAATATTAAAAGAGGCCTTCTAGTAGCTAGTAGTAATAGTAGCCCTCTAGGCTACCTACACGTTAGTAATAAGCTAGTACTTAACAAGAGTATAGGTTATACTAGAGAGACAGATTAGAGAGCTAAGGATTAGAGTAGACAGACAGATAAAGGACCTAGTACGTTATAGCGCTATTAAAGTAGTAATAGCGGCTAATATAGTAATTAGAGGCGCTAAGGTAGTAGTGACCTACTAGCTACCTAGTAGTAATACTATCCTTATATTTAAAAAGGCTATACTAAAGAACGTAATCTAAGATTAAGGCTAAGTATAAAAGGCGTTTAGGCCTATAACCTAGCTCTATAAGAGTAAGTTTATAGTAATTACAAAAGGCCTACTAGTAGACTAGATTACGTAAGTAGAGTTAAGAGCGTTACTAGTAAAGATCTAAGCCTATATACTATATATTATAAAGGTTAAAGTTAAGCCTATTAAGGCCCTTATAGTAAAGTTTATAATAGTAGTACTATACCTTTAGAGCGCTAACGTAGCGACACGCCTATATAAATAAAGGTTAATCTAGTAAGCCTAGATCTTTAACTATAAGCTATATTTAGCTAACCTACAAATTTAAAGATACTTCTAGTACTACTAGTTTAGCTATATTAGGCGGTTTTATAAGAACTAGGCCTAGTATAGCTACTATATAAGAGCGGCGTATTTCTAGAGTAAAGAAGAGTACCCTTAACTTAATAGTAAAAAGAGATACGTTAACTATAGTAGACTATATATAGTATAAGACTATTAGTACCTTAAGGCCCTTAAGGTAAAGGAGTAAGTATATACTATATATTAATAAAGGCCTTAATAGTTTAAGGTGTCTAAGAGTAGCTTTACTAGCTAAGTACCTAGTATTATACTAGTGTCTTTATAAGATAGTAACAATAGCTACTAGATTGTAGTACCTAAGAGACTATAGACAGGTAATAGTAAGAAGCTTATAGTAAAGAC